TTAAAGTTATAATGCAGATTTGTAAAGAAACAATCTCAAAATATTGCTGAATATTAAAATTAATTAATTTTTTTTTGATGAATGAAAGCCCAAAAACAAATTTCTGTTACGAACCATCCTGTAGTTAAACTTGACCAAAAACAGCACTTTTTCGCAGAGCGCTTTAACCCTCAGCATTGATTAACCATATTAATGTGGTTAATCAATGCCCTCAAAGTAAAGCTTTGCATACGTCAATCCCAAATATTCCTGGTTACGACTATATTCACCTATCCACCTCTTTCTGACATCTAGCAGAAAATAATGTAAAATGTTTAATCCGTAATTAAAAAAAAATATACAGTGTGACCCCGGATTGAGTTTCCAACAGAAAAAAAAAGATTGGTTTTATTTTCCGACAAAACGGCAAATGAAAAACATTTTTCGCTTTATAACTTTATTATTTCAATTAAGTAGGAAGAAAAGTTAATTTTTCTTTTAGTTTTGAACTTACAATAATTTTTCTCTGGATTCTCTGAATGTCATCACATTGGCGGTTTTATTTTTTTGACAACGATGTCACTTTGACAATTAATTAATTAACTGAATAATGATGGTTGTTATTAAAAATTACTTTATATTTTCTATCTTAAAGCTGTTTTTTGTGTTGCCGTTTATTAAAATTATGTTTTTCACTAACATTTTGGTTATTTAATAACTTTCGTAAACTCATTTGTCAAAGTGACATCGTTGTCAAAAAGTAAAACCGCCAATGTGATGGAATTTAAAACGAAGAGAAAATTATTACCAGTCCAAAATTAAGAGAAAAATAAACTGTTCTTTCTACTGAATCAGAATAATTTTAATAACAGATTTGCATGTTTCAGGTGAAGTAAAAATGTTTTTCTTTGCAGTTTTAGCGTAAAATCAAAGATAAACAATTTTCCTCTTGTAAATTCACTCCGGGGACGTACTGTAGGTATATTTTTTTTAAGACGGCTTAAAAATGTCGCCCTTCCGGAAAGCCGCCTTAGTGAATCTCCCAACGTGATTAATTATCTTTGGTAAACCTACAGACGGCTACCTGTATTTTTGTGTAACGGTTGTAGTGTATTTTTTTCAGAAATAACAGTTTTCTCGACTCGAACAATTTCCTGAGTCCCTTTCTGCTTGCAAGAAATCGCAAAACCTTGACCTGCCGCAACGGGTTATTGATACCCAGCTGTTAGGGTGCAATAAAGCAATTGGCTGTGTTCTCACTTACTTTTAGAAGTACGATAATCTCTCAGTAGTTATCTTAATCTTTTGGGCATCCCCGTTGAGCATAATCTTATAATATATGTTTCTGGAAGATCATACTTGATAAGGGTGGATTACAGAAACTAGCTGACACCTGACTTAACTTTGGGAAATTCGAATTTTTACTTAGACAGGCAAGACAAATGCTCAAAACTTAGTTCTACCTTTGTTGTTTATTACTTTTTCAATTTAGTGTTAGTGAAGTATCCAGAGTAATCAGTATGAAGATTAAAATAATTTCGAGTATTTTTTTAATCCATGTTGGTGGTTGAAAATTATAAGTTTAATTATTATCAAATAATTAAATCAGCCAATGAAAGTTTGTGGAAGTGTGTGAACAGAAAGTGCAAGTGCACAATTCATTCATACTCTTGGAGTTTTGTTCAACTCTTGCAATTTTGTCAAATCTGAATCTGCCATCTCGTAAATTTAGTTGGTTTAAACCCACAAATAATCATCGGGTCATGCAACAGAAAAGCAATTGAAGATTTAGCCAACCAAAAAGAAAGACCGTGAATGAGAACTTGCCGCCAACGATAACTAACACAGAGATGTCGAAATACGTAAAGAAAATTATGTACAACGCTCGCCGGATTTTTTTTTTAAATATGTTTTCGATATACCAGGTGAATAAAAAGTATGGAACCAAACGTTTTTTGCTTAAACTATTTATTTTTTGAAAAAACTAATTGATGAGTGCTAAAGTACTATAAAAATGTGATGATTAAGGATTACAACTATCTGCTTTATTTTTAATTAAAAAAAAAAAAATTTCACTAAATTGCAATTTTGACAAAAAAAAATTGCATAACTCAAAAATAAAACAAAGTTTCGTTCTGAAATTACAATCACATTTTTTATATTACTTTAATTTATGTTCACCCTGTATTTACTTTTTTCCTGAAGTCTCAGATACAGAAATGTATCTGAGTATCGGGCCGTCCGCCGTCCTTATGGGCAGGTAGATGTAGATTAGGCTTAGCATACCATTACGGGTGTCCGCCACCAACGATTTGAGACGTTAGTATATTGAAAACAAGATTACTCTCTTAATATGCAACAGAATTTCATGTATTATACATCAAAGTAAAGGTTTTTTAAATCTACAGGCCGATACGTTGAGATTTTTTTTTTTAATTTAATACCTTTAATACCTTACTTGAAAACAACTTTACTCAGTCATTAATCAATTTTGGTTTTTGTAAGATAATTTAAAAGAATATTCTATGGGCCGATACGTTGGCCTTTTTTTTTTAAAGTGCTTAGTTTTTGAGATATTGTGGATTGATGTAAAAGTCACGATATTTAACGGTAGACCTAAAGATTCGTTTTAGAGTTTTGGTATTTATTACAAAATATTAATTCTTAACAAATTCAACAAACACCATGTAATAAAACACTGTTGTTTTTAAAAAAGTTACTTTTCTCTTGATTTTCGATTTAGAATAATATTTTTCTCTGCTTTTTGAGTCCTATCACACTGGCGGATTTATTTATTTGACAACTATATGCTATATGTCACTTTGACAATTAATTTATTAATTAAATAATGATGGATCTTGTTAAAAATGTCTTTGGTTTTTATCTTAAAGCTGTTTTTTTGCGTTGATATTTATTAAAATAATATATTCTACATACATTTTTGTTATTTAACTTATTTGTCAAAGTGATAGTCAATGTGATAGGACTTAAAAAGCAGAGAACAATTAAGTCCAAAATCAAGAAAAAAATAAACTTTTCTTTCTACTGAGTTAGAATAATGAAGTTTTTAATTAAAGATTTGCTCGTTTAAGGTTTTTCCTTTGCAGTTTTGGCGTAAAATCAAAGATAAAATTTTTTCGGTTTCCTGACATGTAAATGTCAAATTAACGTACACTCAGAAAAGTTGAAAATGACGTGTCCAAACCGACCCTCATTATTTGGGTCCTCCTACCTAACCGCAGTTATAAACCATCTGCGAGGAGAAAGTAATAAAAATGCTTTTGCATTTAGCCTCAACATTTCTTTTAAGTAAATGTTGTCAGGTGATATTATTTCATTAATGATAGTTATTATAATTAAACGTGTGTAAAGTGTGTTATACGGTGTGTTATACTGAAACGAGCAAATTTGTAATTTTAAAACGTCATTATTCTGTCTCAGTGGAAAGAAAAGTACATTTTTTCTTGATTGTGGGATTTTTCTCTGCTTTTTAAGACCCACACTAATGGCAGTTTTATTTTTTTGACAGAATTGTAACTTTGATAATTAATTAATTAATTAATTGGTATTATCGACAACACAATAACATTCTGAAAAGATTTGTTGCTCTCATTCATGAAAAATAATAAAACTTCAAAGCATGATATATTATTTTATTAATAATTATTATAATTAAAGACAAAAATTGTTTTAAATTTAAATAATTAATTTACTAATTAATATCAGTGTTGGCTAAACATTCATGAAGTCGTCCATGCATACTATTCACCAAATTTTGGCAAATTTGTGAGTAGCGGAATGGACCCATTGCATCAAGGAAAAATCGAGGGTACCGTATGCGCGGCGGGAGAAATAACTCCACCCATTATTTTTAAATTTGCTTTAGAATAAAATGCCAATCGCTACCAACCAAAGCCGCCAAAGTCACTGTGTAGATAACCTAAAACGAAACGTCAAAAGCGTGTTCAACACGGTTCTAATAAAGTTGCTTATACAAAACGAAATACAAAACACTATAACCACGCGAAGCGCGAGCACGCTAACATAAGCCGGTCAAGTGCCCTTGTAGACATTCAGACAACCAACCTAATCACCATAGATTACACTAACTTGCGTTTCACTGTTCACTTCTGATTGGACCATTTCTTTTTCGCGGTTACAAAAGGGGCGCAGGTGACGCATGCGGTCTCCTCAAAAAATTAGATGCAATGGGTCCATTTATTGCCCTATAAATTTTCTATTGGATTTAGATGAGGCGAGTGAGGAACCCATCGTATAATTTCGAATTCCTCATTTCATTTCTTACCTGATCGTCCAGTTGAAACTAATTTACGATTCGTAGAAGTAGGGAATCCCAATTAAAAGTGTTGAAAAACAATTAGGTAATATTCAGTTATAATGAGAGCACAAATCTTTGCAGCATTTTATTGTTTTGCCGCTAATAACGCTTACAATAATTAATTAATTAATTGTCAAAGTGACATTTTTGTCGAAAAAATAAAACCGCCATTGTGATGAAACTTAAAAAGCAGAAAAAAATCCCAAAAGCAAGAGAAAATTTACTTTTCTTTTCATTGAGACAGAATAATGACGTTTTAAAGTTACAAATTTGCTCGTTTCAGTATAACACACCGTATGACATATTTTACACACCCTCAATTATAATAATTATTATTAATGAAATAAAATCCCATGACAAGATTTACTTAAAAGAAATGTTGAGGCTAAATGCAAAAGCATTTTTATGGATACGTCATTTTCAACTTTTCTGAGTGTACATACGTCATTTGTACAATTGACATCTATTGAAAAACTGTATATTATTTCATACAGTCGCCTGGGTATTTTACGCACGGCCGTGGCTTGGCTGTGTAGATAATTTTACAATTAATTGAATAAAATTAGACTCATGCTGACAGTTTCAAATTTAAAATAAAAACTCATTCGAAACTTATCACAGAACGTTATCTACATACAATAACTAAACATATAAGATAAAAACCACTAGAATATTTGTGTTAAAATATATAAATACAGTTTAAGTTTGGCAGTGGTACTAGTAGTAAGATCTTTGCAATTATACAACCGAAATAATTTGTAAACATCTGAAAATGATTTTAATTTATTTGTGTTGTTTTCTTTTGTTTGCGTACTATCTGTACCGAAAAAACTATACATATTGGGAACGTAAAAGAATTCCTAATGAAAAACCTTTCTTTTTTTTTGGAAGTTTTTACAATGTGGCTTTAGGAAAACAACATATTTTTCACAAAATTCGTGAAATATACAACAAGTTTTCAACTCCTTACGTCGGAATCTACATCTTCAACCAACCGAATTTAGTGATTAGAAGTCCGGAACTCATAAAAAAAGTGTTAGTGAAAGATTTCGACAAATTTGTGAATCACAAATTGGCAGCAAATGAATCAGTAGATCCCATAGCCTTCCACACACTTGCCAGTGCAAAGAACGATACATGGCGCAACATTCGTGCAAAAATGTCACCAATTTTCACTTCAGGAAAAATCAAGTTGATGTTCCCTTTAATGAAAGAATGTGGTTCAGACTTGGTTAACTACATAAAGAAACATAATGGAGAAGTTATGGAGGCTAGAGACGTCACGAAGAAATATGCCGTAGATATTATATCTTCGTGTGCATTTGGTATAAATTCTTATTGCTTAAAAGATGACAATTCTGAAATTTTACAAGTTGCAACAAAACTTTTTGACTTTAAATCGATTATAAGAAACATTTCAATCTTTAGTTTCTTCTTCATGCCAAAACTGGTAGACATATTTAGATTAACCTTCATGGACAAAAAAGCTTCCGATTATTTGATGAACATTTTCAATGCCACAATGAAAGAACGCCGGGAAAACAAAATCGTACGCAACGACCTAATAGACATGCTACATAACTTAAAGGAAAACACTACTGGTAAAGCAAAATACATCTTTGGTAAGTTATGATTTATTTGGAATTGACCTATATTTTGCAAATACACCTTTTGCAGATGATATAAAAGTAGCTGCACAAGCTTTGACTTTCTTTTCTGCTGGAAATGACACAACCTCTCTGACCATTACTTTTGCTCTTTACGAACTGGCTTTAAATACCGATATACAGGACCGATTACGTAAGGATATTAGGAAACAATACGAAGCACATGGTGATTTTACTTATGAAGCTATTCAAGAAATGAAATATTTAGACATGGTCCTATCTGGTATAGATACTTTCCTTTAATAGGAAAAAAAATACTTATACCATATGTTTTTAGAAACACTGAGAAAATATCCTTTAACAAGTTTTTTAAATCGTGAATCTGTATCCAACTATACATTTGAAGACTCTGGACTCACTATAGATAAGGACACTTCTATTTTAATTCCTGTTGCTGGATTACATTATGACGAAAAGTATTTTCCTAATCCTGAAAAATTCGATCCGGAACGATTCAGTGATGAAAATAAAACTAAAATAGTTCCATACACTTATTTGCCTTTTGGGGATGGTCCAAGAATTTGCATTGGTGTGAATATCATGATGTTATATAAATATATTTATATATAGATTTGACATTTTAGGACAAAGATTTGCAACCGTGGTATCAAAAGTTGCTTTGGCTTATGTTCTTAAAGATTTCGCCGTTGAAAAAACAGGTGCTACAAACGTTCCGCTGCAGTTGGATCCAAAGGTTATGTTTATAGTAGACAAAAATGGTGTACATTTAAAAATGGTTACAGTATAATACCTTAAGTATCTTTACATACAAATAAATATAAATAAATAAAGTGCAAAAAAGAACAAAAAAGCTGTATATCTCTCTCTTCCTAAAACTTAAGTAAACACGTACTTAGTATAATAGTATATTATTTAACGAGCATATGAAGATGGCTATTATTCACGAAGGTGAAGTTAAAAAACGAGTCGAAACGAGTCTTTTAATCACTTGAGTGAATAATAGCCATCTTCATTATAGTATTGTGAGCAGAATACGACGTTGTATCTAGGATCTTTTTAAATAAAACACATTTTATGCTACTCATAATTTACAGTCGTGGGTTATGATATCAGATGTATTTAAAAGGTCACTTAGCGTCATGGAAACATATACGATAATCCGTGTTTTAGATGTGGGAGTAGAAAAAAATATCTTTTAAATATCCCCAAATTCTTATTAATTTAAATTTTAAGGTTGAAACATGTAATCTAATGTTTTGTATTTAATCATTTAACTAGTTATTGTATAGAATATTGTCTTTGCAACTATTAGGTATTCAGAGCTGTTAAGAAGGCTGTAACTATGTAACTACTGAGAAACGACCGTTATATCATATTAAATTACCATGTTTTAAAAAAATAATTTTCAAATTTTGAAAATGTCAATATTTTAAGATTTAAAGTGTGAAAACTGCCAAAAAGCAGGGCGCTAAAACTTTTTAACAGTCCTGTGTGTTATTAATAATATTAATACCCTAAGGTATTACTAACAACTTAAGAATTTTAAATTGTTGAACATTATTCATACAATAACCACATGGGACAACAAAAAATTTGAAATGGCTCTTAGTAGTTGTCAGTAATATTCCTGACATTTTGACGTTTTGGAAATTTTAAAGAATCAAAGTTGACATTAAATATAAAAATAATATAGAGTAAAAAACGCATCTAGTTAAAAAAATACGCAACACATTCAAAACAAATAAAATTGCTAATAAATTTCTGTTGTTTTACTTCAATTTCTGATCTCAGTTGGAATAATGTATTGTGTCTTATTATCAAGATTTATACCTCAGTTGTTTTCTACTGCCACATTGGAAACATCGCAACTGCATTTATTGAGCTGAAATAGGTCAGAAACATTTGACTTCTGTGTAAAAAAAAACTGAACTTAAAACGGAACTTGACTGATAAATTTAGAATCAATAGGCTCCACTTTCTCATACGGAAAAAGCCTTTCGAAAAGTGACAGTTCGCAATTCAGTATTGAAAAAATTTTAAAAAATGACAAGTTTTATATCTTTTTGAAAGATATATACTCGTATTTGTTAGTCATATTGCTCTCAAAAAAATAACACATAACTGACTGTGCCATGCTTCTCACGTTCAGCTAACGAAAATTCTTCGCCTGAGGAAGATACAATAAAAGTATCGAAACGTCGCGACGAATTTAATGTTTTTATTCATCCTTTATCCTGTATACCATCTTCCACAAGCAACCATATTTCAAGGACAAGCAACACAAAATGGAGAATAAACAATATGGTCAACAACAAGTCACGAATCTGGTGCCTGAATAAATGTGTATGCACAATGTTTATTTTTTTTTTTTTGATGACTGAGGAGATAAAACATGAACCATCCTGTATATTCATTTTGCATTTTCATTATTAATGTTGATTGTCCAGTCATACTCGTAATCATGACAAGGCAAAAATGGCAATGATTAATCATTTCTAAACATGATTTGCAATTTTTTATCAGTTTATTGACCTCAAAAATAACAAATTGTTTGGTCATTTTATGATACATATTATGTAGATACAATGTGCTAGACGTATAATGTTGCACATGTAATTAATTAATAGTCACGTAAGTCACATAAAATAAATAAACTTGACTTTTCGGTTGCTTGTTGTAAACCAGAGGTTCTTAAACTTATTTCGTCTACCGCCCACTTTGAAAATTAATTATTTTTCAGCACCCTCGAATTTTTTTTTATTTTACCACATCTTAAAAATCACAATGACATTTATTACTTTTATTTAATTATAGTGTGGTATATTAGTCTGGAGTTTAAACTTACATTCTAAACGAAACTTTTTTACCAGTGAGAGCAATTAAAACGCAACTTTATAATATTAAGAGTATTTTTATTCAAATTAAAACAAACATAATCAGTTTTAATTTTAAAAATTTTAAAACGCGATTTTTTGAACACCTATATATACGTATTTCTTATTATCATTAACAATGATGACAAATAAAGCAAATAATGACAAGGCAAAAATAGCAATGATTAAGCATTTTTAAACATGATTGGTATTTTATTGTCATTACATTGACGAGAGCAATAACAAATTGTTATAAATGTACACATTTTAGTTAATGTTTTAAAAACATAGCAATAGAATAACAACTAATAAATAATTAGTATTGTTGCAAATATTTGGTTGTCTTTGGTATATGTTTTTCAAAGAATGTACTTTTAACACCATCAAGCTTGTCGATTGTTTAGAACTTCTTTCCATATTCCTACTGCTTCATTTTAGCAAAGTTAATAAAAATTATTAGATGACAAATTAGCAGGTGTTACACGTCGAATCTTCAGAAACAGGTCGAAATTTCAAATTTCGAAAAGGATTAAATGTAACGTCTTTTACAAATGTAAAAAGCATCGAGAGATCAAGAAACGTATGTCTGTTTTTTAACTAACTGTACGTGAAACGTCAAATAAAATAACAAGTCGAAAGGTAAAACGGCAAAATGGGCTGAAATTAGTGGCCGATGTATAATAATAGTAGTAAAGCATAAATTTAGTTATTAAAATCATCATCTTTTTGATCAAACCATTTTACCTTTCGACTTGTCATTTTATTTGACGTTTCACAGACATACATTTTCGGATCCAAAAATGATTCGATTACAAATTATCTTGATCTGATGGTGTTGATCAAAGTTCTGCCAAAAAATAAATTGTATTTATTTTTGAAAACTGAATAATGCGGTACAGTTCTAGACAAAGTACTTTGGTCGTCACTTGTCTGACACTTTAATGTAATTCAAGCTTTAACGTTAAAATGAATGACAATTTCAAATTAATGACGGCTATTATATCTTTCTATCAAAAATATGTACAACTTGTCAACTATGATTGATAGTAGCTAAAAATAAGGTTAACAGTCCTAAAGCATGCTTTACAATTTAATGTCACTCAAGTGACATTAACGACCAAAGTATTTTGTCTCCAACTGTACCTTCTTTTGGAATTAATGACCTTCATTTTTCATAAAGCCTAAAATTTTCGTATTATTTTCCCGCACGGCGTAAATTTGACAAATGTCTTATAAAAATAAAATGCTGTAAAGAAAAGAATGTCTGATTGATTTATTAAAGTACAATGGCAAGCATTAAATTTTAGTAGTCAATGTCATTCCCTAATATACAGGCTGCGCCAGAGCTCGCGCCCCAGAGAAAATTTTTAAGTAAGGTAAGATACCAAGAACATGAAAAAAATGTTTAAAAAATTTTATCTGTCAAAAAACTTTGACATTTATTTTTTGACATTTGACATTTTTTTACATCTATTTAAGGGTACTCATGATCTTGTATATTTTTTTTACAATTATTTAGTAAAGGGACAAAAATTTTGCCAATAAAAGCCACAAATAACATTGAACAGAGTTACAATTTAGGATATTTGTTTCCTCTTTTAATAGTCTATAGCAAAAAAAAATGGAAAATTATTTTTCCAACAGAAATAAATAGCGTCAAAGTGCAAACTTTAAACCCTTCGAAATTTTTATAAATAACATTTTTTCCATGTTCCTGGTATCTTATCTTACATGGCATTTTTCTCAGAGGCGCGAGTTCTGGCGCACCCTGTATATACTCTCTTGTAAAAATTACACAGGGAAACTATGTACTTTTTTTGACAAAAAGATGAAGTTTCAAAATTACATTTCCTACCAAAATTTTATGCTCGCCAATGTACATTAGATGAGAAATGATGTTCAATTAACATGTGTTTATCAAAAAAAACTCAAAAGTGCTTTGAGAAATATTTTGCATGTCTTTGCTTACGAAAACTTTAGACGATGAAACTATTCTAAGGAATGTGATGTCATTTAATTTGTATTGTAATTTAATAAGGCAAGTACTTCGGATAGCATACAGGTCAAGGTATTCATTTTATTGAAAATGTCTGTTATAGCTGACTAACCAGTAATACGTCTAAAGCCTATACGATTTTTTTAATGTTAGAATTTTTTTTTCTATTTCGGTGTTAGAATAAGTCTATTCCATCACTCAAATGATGTCATTTGTGTGCTGGAATAACTCGTTCGCGGTAATTTAATTTTAGTGACGGACTTTCTTCACAATTCATTTTCAAATGTGAAAATAAGAATAATTTTTATTTTTTACAGTCGCCTAAAATTATTCCACATAAATGTCGCCAACCGTCGCAAAATTTTCTAGAAGAAAAATTAAGACTTTTGTTTTTTAATTTATAAAATGATATAAAGCGGCAAAATAGAAAAAATTAGTATAAAGCACTTGTTGCACAAGGTTCTTTAAGCACTCATTTGTTCCTCAACACGCCGCTAAGCGGCTCGTTTCGGAATTTCAAATTTGTGCTTGAACCTTCTGCAACTTGTATTTTAATATGCTATTATCATGCTGATAACGTTAAATACTATTAAACAGGCAAAATATGACAAATTTTATGTCTCAGTCATTTTGGTTATAACATGTCGCAAATTATGTTTTTCCGCAAAGTGTAATTTGAAATTAATGTCTTTACTATCACATTGTTGAATTAAAAGAAAAAATGCTTTTCATGTTATTACTTTAACATCTGATGCTCCTAAAAAGATTTAAAAACAAGAGCATTAATAAAAGTCAATTGTTTCATTAGTGCTTTATTAATTATTCTTGGTACATGTGGCTTTCAATGACAATGGCTTCTTATGTCAGTTTCTTCAGTACTTATGTATTGGTTTCAGTAATTCAGAGGTTGAGGGCTGCTGCCAAAATTTGTTTGAGCTATCTTATGGTTGGGAGTGTTGTTGAAGGGTTAAACATTTAAAATCTTGATGTTGAAAATAGAATTGCAATATTAAAAACCATTTGTAGTACGTAAAACATGACGTGTTTACAATTGTTTACAAAGTATCCTTACCACGCATTTGTGTAAGAAGTGATAACATAGAATAAATCATTTTTCCAATCTAAAATAATCTATGTTATTGGTACCTGAACATAAATTAGCGTATAATGTTTACAAATGCTCCTAAATTATAATTTATGGCCAAGTTTTCTGTGAATCGAAAACGTAATGGTTTGATAAAATTTATCATAAACGTAAGGTAAACTTGTTTATTCCTTTTGTTCAACAAATACCAGGGCACTAAAGACCACGTGACTGAAAGTTCTTCATTCTACAGAATAAGTTAAATATTTTTTAAAAGTATTTATTATTTCCGCTCTATTACTATTTTTCACTTACAATATTTTCAAGTTTCTGACCAGATGTTATTGTTGCCATAAAAGTGGTAATTGCTGCTACGGTTAAAGTTCCGGCATGAAAATAGTCACTCATTTCTAGAGTATTTGAAAACTGCAACAAAGAAATGTTAAAAAAATAAACTAACATAAAGTAGACAACCTTAAAATAAAACATAAGAATACTTATCCCCAGTACACTAGCAAAAATACCATACAACAATATATAAATATATATTTTCTGATTAACATTTTGAAGGATCCTGAAGTACAAAATCAAAATTTTCATATTGTTATAATTAAATGCATTTCATTACTTGGATATTATCGAATAACGTTTTACAATTCGAAGAATTCTTTTTGTAATTTTGTCTTGAAAACCCTTGTCATTGGGCAATTTTAAGTCATCGTACATTTCCATCTGTATATTGTGCTTTATTGAGTCTAAAAGCAAATAGCCTTGAAATCTTATATGAGACGCCCCATATACCACTTGATTGCAGCTTGCTGGTAGTGCTAGCGCCATAATTATGTAACTAGCTTTATACATCCAACAAAGTTCAGTTTTCCACTTTGGTACATAAATTTCAATTAGTTTATACACATAACATATTTCCTCTGCATTTTTTGATGGAAAAGTGTGAGCTAAACCAGCAATTAATGAAATAACTGTATTAACAATTGCATAAATTGTGATTATCTTGATTTCAAATTTCATTCGTTTCATTATTTTTAAGTCAGTAGATTTTATCTTCCACAACTGTGGCGATTGTATTGCTTCAGGTGCAACATTAGATAAAGTTAAAGATGATGCAAGTGCAAGAATAACCTAGAAATTAAATACTGTCATTTATAATTCACTCAATATTTCAAATATATTACAAAAAACGATCCAAACCAATAAGGCGAATATGATATAAAGTAAAGACTGTTGAAATTAATAAGAAAATAATATCCTTGAAGCATCATAAGAACTGTATTCGCTATCAGCATCACAAATATTACAAACTTCATTAGTTTATATTGAAAAATGTCAGCACACCAAAATCGGAGTAACCACAAAACATCATCTGCAATTTTAGTTCTCAAATTATATGTAAATACAAAATGTATGTGAAAAAAATTAATACTAAAAAGTTTAACAAAATTTGTCCGCCCGAGCGTCGCTCAAACAAGTGAGGGCTATGTAAGTATATTTTTTAGATAAGCTGCATTTATTTAAATGAGACAATTCTACACAAGTCATTCCAGAAATCAATTTTGTACTGATTTTTCAGGGCATAATAACTTACGTTGTTTATTCCTTTAAAATATGAGTAAAAAATCTACAATTAGCATTCAGTTGAAAGAAAAAAATTATTTAACCACGTTAAAATTCAATCCTCGATATACTCGTAATATACAAAAATAAATAACGATCGTAAAATAAGTACATGCGTTAAACACCTGTTTTCACAATGAAAATCCAAACTAAATCTTTTGCTAACTCGATAAAGATGAAAGTAAATAAGATGTAAAAAACTTTATAAAGATAGGTGAGTCGTATACAATAACAAGAAAACCAAAAATAGCACCAGAAAAAATGTAGTTCTGGTAACAAAGTATTAGTATCAAATTGCTATTCACCATTTAAATATTTGTTGCTGTCGATAAAATAACGATAATAACACCCTAGCAAACAGTTTTAATTTTATATTGTAAAAACAATTAGAGTTACAGTGGAATTAAATTAATTCATTTTGAAACTTTAATATATCCTATTAAATTGGTAGGTCGTTATGAAAATTCAATAATTTTAATGTTTCCATTGTTTCTTCTTCAGATGCAAGTTAAATAATACCACTTTAAATTTCTATTTCATAAAGCTAGTCAGAGAATATTATCATTAACCTAGTGATCAAGCAATTTAAAAATTGTTTGTAAATAATATTAAAGTTAGTTTGCGGTATTAGATAAGTACAAGTCCGCGTCTTTAATTTAAATGTTATTTCAAGGCATATTTGTAAATTACGTGTCAGTCAGTTTTATAATAATAATTACAAAAAGTTAATTAATATTTATTCCCGGTTTTTTTAATTCGTTTTTGATGAAACTGTGGAAGTCTTATTGTCTTAAACACAAATCTACAGGGTGTCCTCAAATAAGAAACGACTCTTGTAAAAGATAGAAAATTATCGATTTAAATTTTCATTTTTGGAAGTTCAGCCATGTTAAAATGCCTTTTATGTGGCAAATACGACAAAAAGGTATTAAAAAAAGTCGTTTATAATCAACTTTAGGCCCCTACACACCAAATTTTAAAATCATCGGCCAACGTTTCTGATAATAAAAAGCAATTTCCTTGGAAAAAAATTAAAAATCATAGTTGGCCGTTGATTTTGAAATTTAGTAAATGTTGATTCGAAACAACTTATCTCTATTACTTTTTGTCGCATTTGCCACATAAAAAAGGCACTTTACTCTACAAAACAATAGTTTTTTTTTTAATTTCCAAAACAAACTTGATTTTTCAAAACTAAAATTATGTTAGAAATTAATCTTTAACCAAGCAAGGCTGAACCCCAAAAAATAAAAATTTAAATCAAAAATTTTTATCTTTTACAAGAGTCGTTTCACTTATCCGGGTATATCATTTAAAGTATAGAAAGTCTTTTTCTCCTAAGCCCACAGATTAAAGGCCAAGCGTAGCATTGATATAATTAATTTATTCTTCGACACTGTCAAAATTTACGGTTTTTCTCCCGTGTAAGGAAGTTTTGACAACTGTTTGGCATTTCTCAATACAAAACGTGAAATTATTTTTCAAAGATTTAAAGCAAGTTTAAGCCTTGTTGACTCTAATTCGAAGAATAAAATGTTGTATTCCACTCGTTTGAGTGTAAATCGGACGCTTTATTCCACCTTGTGGATGATAAAAACCACTCGTTACACTCGTGGTTTAAAAATCCACTCGGTCAAATAAAGAGTCCGATTTACATTCAAACTCGTCGAATAAATAACTATTAATTAATTAATTAATTAATATAATTATTAATAAAATATACTATTTTTCATTATTTTCGAAAGGCTTTAACCCCTTAGGTTCGTAAAAGCTTTTATTATTACTCCGACTTAAGGAATCACCCATCGAATCTATTAACGTTTTTTCCAAACAGCCTATATATTTTTTTCTTTACTTTTTTTAGAAGAAGATAACACTATTAAATAAAAAAATGTATCTGATAGAAAGCTGTAAAAACCTTTTTTCCAGCGTTAATTTTATGGAAAGAAAGTTATATGGTAGAAGTGACTTTCCTACTTGACATTTCATTAAAAAAATGTAATTATACTTAACATACCTTGAGGATACTGAAATAATTCGGGATGGACATTATTTGCAGTCATCTTGAAAGCAAGCGATGATTAGTGATAAACGCAATGTATTATTTAATCAACAAAATAAAATTATTAGAATGTCAACCTTTATTTCTAAATTATATAATTTTTGTTTTACCATACGTTCAAACACTTCTTCAATGACAAGTTATGAAACTCCGCTCATTTTATTCGTAAAAACTACAAGACTTGCGTACTTATAGTTGTGGTCATAAAGGTTGCTAAGTAACTAATGTACATACAAGTATTGTACTATTGGGGACAAAATACTTTGTCGTCAGTATCACTTAAGTGACATAAAGTTGTAAAGTAAACATTAAGATGGTTAACCTTATTTTTTACTACTGTCGAAATTCAAAGTTGTTAAAACGTTCTTCGCAACTTGTTGACAACATAACATAATTATCATATAGGTAATCGTAATAGTACTTCTTGCTGTACCCAATCTTTCTACAATTTGGCCCATAAACAATTTCTCAGAAGCAAGAGAGACGATTCTAAATTTTTGAACGGTAGAAGGAACCATATTTTTGACAAGAGAAAAGCCAATAACTTGTCATCAATGGTGGCTTGATGTTAATGTTTGATTTACATGAGGATTTTCGTTAAAGTGACATAGATGACCAAAGTATTTTATGTGCAATACAATTGCGGACATGAAATTTTGGACATGAAATTTATGTCAGTTCAAAAAATGTCAAGATGAGTTAGGTTTTGTGGTCATTATGAGTGACGTTTAAAACTAAAATTTTAAAGATTTAGTTAAAATTTATTTTTACCGTCGATTTTCTTAAACAGTAATGCCAGAATAAAAATTACTAAAAGCAAAAGTTGGTTTAGTTGAATAAGACACGTTTTATATTTTTATGATTTTTATGTCAGTCGAATGACAAAAAGTCTAAAATTCCGTGTCTGCAATTATAGTACGAGTAAATATTAAACAGAAAACGTAAATGTGAATTTTGAAAAGCGTCAGTTACAAACAAATTTAAGGCTAGGTTAAAAGAAATCTCGAACTCGCTTTCGGGGTGTTACCTTATTACGACTTGTCATTTTATTTGACGTTTCCCGTGAAGTTCAAAAACACACATATGTTCTCGGATGCAAAGATGACTCGATTACAAATTATCTTAATCGCTCGATATAATAATATTAGTCCCAAACCAAGAGAAAAATCAACTTTTACTGAAGCAGAATAATAAAGTTTTAATGCCAGATTTGCTCGTTTCAGACGAAGCAAAAAATGTTTTTCCTTTGCAGTTTTGGCGTAAAATTAAAAATTATTATTTTTTCCCCTTGTAAACTCAATCCGGGGACATACTGTCGATTAGGAAATAATTTAGCAATACGAGTTTACTGTCTTAAAATAAAGTTAATAAATAAAGCACATGAATTTGTGTTACATGCTAAAAGTGCCTTCAAGAAATGACTTTTCAAAAAGAGAAACACAATGAAATTTAGGTTATCATTTCTGGGTTATAAGAAATTAACCAAGTGTGTGGTCACAAATAAGTTGCTTTCTAAATACCAGCCTTGGATAATGAAAATATTAGACAAACAAGTTACCTATTGTAATACAACTAATAATTACTTAAAACCCCTAAATTATTATTAAACGGCTAATCCCTTTTCTAGTTACAAGGTTTAACTTTCTCTGATTTGGTTGCTAATCTCGACCAAATTTCTTTTTCAGCAGAATCAAAAAGTCAGAATTGTTTTTATCTTATGTAAGATGAACAATACTAAGAAGAAAGTGAGACGTGACAAATCTAATAATTTTTAGCGGTCCCACTGTAAATCTTTCTCCGGATTTGTCTAATCATCTGCCATAAATCATCGTTCGAGAAATTTTGAGCTCCAACGAATTAGAATTATCGCGATATCAAGCTTATTTTTAATAACAGAAAAAAACTAAAAATACCAAGCTGTTTCAAATAAAAAAAATCTCTACCGATTGGACGAAGAGTTATTTCCTTTTGAAGCCTTGGTCTCTTTATAAGTGTTTTAATTCGAAAAGGTGTTCATTTAAGTATCAATAATTTGTGAAGTACTAGATTTCTTAAAATTTTGTTTTGGCCATTTTGTAGATATCATTTTTAAGATACATTGAGTTTTGAAACGACGTTGATATTTTTTCAAATAAACGAATTAGAGCCGCAATTGTTTTACATTGGAAATGCCATAAGAGAAATACTTTTAACCTAGTCTTAATGTTATTGGAAAAGTAGAATTTGCAGTATTAACAATTAAAACGGTTAAATTTAAAAAAGTATGAAAAAATTAGAATGTGAATCTTTGTTTTAAAAATGAATTAACACGAAGCTCCTAATCCCGCTCCAGGTATCTTTGGGGGAGTAAAATACCAATTTAGGGTGGTTTTTGGAAATAAAATGAAAACTAAGGATTATTCCAGGTTTTCTATCTTAAGAGAGGTCTAATCAATGTCGCATTGAAGCAAAGGTATTTTTCAAAGAATAAGATACCGGTTTAAAAGAAAAACTAGAAATGCGTAAATGAGACAAAAGTTTGTGTTAAAATTCGTGGCCACAAAAAAGTCTCTGTTTATACCACAGCCTCTTTTCAAACCTAATTCTGTAAAAAATTGTAGATCTTTTAGTCTAAAAATTCAAAGATGAGCGGTCTAAAGAATGTAAAGAATTTAAAATGCGTGCTCTTAATTCAACAATGTGTGTGAAGTCGATAAAATATCAACTGTCATATTTATCTAAAAAATTAGTAGTAAAAATTAAGGCTACTAAACCATAATTACTTTATTTAACTGTGCTTGATGGAACCAGCTCTTACCAAACAATCCTATCAATATTTCATGGCTAGAAAATTAATTCCAAAAAAATATTCACTAGCTAGTAGGCTATAAAGGGTCTAAAATTGTCACTAGCTTTTTGTATAAAATATTACTAACTGCTTAAAAGCCAATCGGACCTTGAAATACAAGCAGCCCTCGTAAATGAATGCTAAAGTCAAGTATGGTGTTACGTTGGGTGAGCATAAAGCAACACACATCGTTTAAATAAAAAAAAATGATGATTTAAAATAATTCTTTCGGCAAATAATAATTTGAAATATCTTTGCCACCACATTCCAAATGCATTAGCAAGGAAATGTAACAGTTCTCATTTGTAGAAAATATTAAAAACAGCAATAGTTTTGTTAGTGCTTTATTGAATAGTGTAAGTGTACTGTAATAAAGTAAGTGTAAGTAACAACACAGCTTTTAATGTCCATTTCTACATACGAGTTCGGTAGCTAATCTACAACGCTAATTAAATTTTTGTTTAATTTGAAAGTTATCGTTGTAGTTTCCTAAAAAATCATATACAATTACGACCGGTCATTTTTATAACCTTGCCAAACATACATGTCTTGCCTTACGGCTTGACTTGTATAAAGTATTGGCGCGGCCATGAAAATGTTGCTATCGGTCTAATAAGGAAATAGCTATTACTGTTCCAGAATATTAAACAATGTTTATGTAATTATTTAAGTTGTAAGTTAATTATAAAAAAAACTTTGTTCCTTGGTGCAAAACAACAGCATCGCATTCAGATATTGAATATGATTTTCTTCGATTTGAGTTTTACGTGGTGCTATTGTTACGCATTACGGAAAAAATGTTTCTGTTTTTATATCAAAATTACATGTTTGAATTTTATACTCCTAATATTCTGGTATATAATAAATAATTAAATTTAATAAATATTTAATCCTTTTCCATTTTTTTAAATTTATTGCAGACAAACTACTTTAATAATCATTTTTCTGACATTTCAAAAAAAATTCATGTATACCAAGCATCAACGTCAAGCCATCATTGACGACAATTTCAAATTATTGACTTTTCCTTTGTCAAAAATATAACACCTTCGATCGTTCATTGTAATGCCTTGTAGAATTTTTCCTCCCTGGAAATTCTCATTTAGTGGTCCATTTTTAAGTCCCTATTTAACATTTTGCAATAATGAATCTGACAGTGATAGTCAATGATAATGGTTGACATTTGTAAAAAATAAAGTTATGTGACTCAAGTGACACTGACGACCAAAGTAATTTGTCCGCGATAGTAGGTACTTCTAGTAGTACTATCGAATTAAAAAAAAAAACTTAGTACAGCAAAATTTTGTTGGAGTAAATTGGGTTCATATGAAAATGTCAAATGTCATTATGATAATTTGAATTTTTAAGTTTTTAAAATACTAAATTTTCAAGTATGTTTTGAAAAAACGCTAAATTACAAATAAACACCAAACCACCACAGACGTATTTAGATGATCTACTTGATATATTGGAACTAGTAACCAGTTAATATAAAGGGACGGGTCTTTTTTAAAAGGTCACAGTTGGCCGTGACAAGCTCGTTATAAACACACCATGAACACATAAACAAACTAACATAATCTTACAATTACAATTTAAGTAGTATGCACAAAGTTAAGCATCTTCATAATCTTAATCTTGGTAATCTTGGTAGGTTCGTTCACAATCAATTTTGCAAAGCCAACTTCGACGTCGAATTTTTACATACATACGTAAAAACGTTACACTATAAAATTGTTGAAAAACTGACGTAACGACGATGTTTGCTGTCAGTTTTTTATGAATTCGATAGTATGTACAGTCGACCAAAGTGAAAATGACGCCTCAATAAACCAGCCCCTGCTGTGGATGCCGACCCTCCTAACCACAACCAGGCAAGATCGTAAATTATCGGATTGCAAACTTGACGTAATTTCAAGATAAATTCCTTTAGGAGCCGGTTTACAGAAAGCGAAATGAAAATTTAGTTCACAATTATTAAACTAATTCGAATTAAGTTGGCATTTATTTTGCATCTGACAAACGACAAGTTAATCGCGAATTCAAATTTAATTGCTATTAACACGTTCTGTTAACCGGCCCCAAGTTTTCTATTAGTTTTGTAATTATTTATTTAATTTAACCAGAAAAAAAACGCAAAATTATTTGAAATTTTTTAGTTCTTCTACAAAATTTATTTTTTGATAATTGTAATACTTTTAAATTAAATGAAAATGTTTAGTTTTATAAAAACACAATTTAACAAAAAACAGTTCTTAAAAAAAATTATTCATTAATAATAAAATTAAATTAAGTAACATAATTTTTGTACGAAATAGGCTTTCTCTATTTTAAACTTGATTTTATGTAAAATAAATAATTTATAAAATAATTTTATTTTGAAACAGTTTAAAAAATATTAAATAAATAATGATTTGTTTTTTCGTCAATGTCATCATTAATGCATAGTTGTCTTCAAGAAATGGTTTGTTAAATTTTTCATTAAAAAAATTACATTTTCATTTAACTTGACTTTTGTCAATGCAAAATAAATGGCGACTTAATTCAAATTAGTTTTTAGTAATTCAATTCATTTGTTGTTTTACATAAAATCTAGTTTAAAATAGAGAAAACCTATTTCGTTCAAAAATTATGTTAAATAATTGTGAACTAAATTTTCATTTCGCTTTCTGTAAACCGGCTCCTAAAGGAATTTATCTTGAAACTACGTCAAGTTTGCAATCCGATAATTTACGATCTTGCCTGGTTGTGGTTAGAAGAGTCGGCATCCACAGCAGGGGCTGGTTTATTGAGGCGTCATTTTCACTTTGTTGGACTGTACATACTACTTTACATAAAACCACTGCTAATAGAGCGCAATTTGACAGTTCTGTAATTCAAAAGTTGAGAACTGCTAACAAAATCTGCGTGAGGTTCCTAGGAATGATGAGGTGAGATTGGATTTTCATTGAAGTCGTGAAAATTTGTATATTGAAGACAGATATATTAAACCATTTGTAGTGCGTAGAATAAGTTGTGTTCAGAGTTGTTTACAAAGTATCCTTACCACGCATTTGTGTTAGTAGTGATAACATAGAATATATCATTTTTCCAATCTAAAATGATCGATATTACTGGTATTTCAATACAAATAAATGATTATGGTTTACAGCTGCTCCTAAATTATAATTTATGCTCATGTTTTCTGTGAATCGAAATTTTAATGGTTTCATATAATTTACCATAAACATGAGGTAAATTTGTTTATTCTGTTTGTTCAACAAATACCAAGGTATCAAAGACCATGTATCTGAAAGTTCTTCAGTCTACAAGTTGCATATTTTTTAAAGCATTATTTCTACTCGGTACAATTTTTTACATACAATGTCTTCAAGTTTCTGACCAGATGTTATTGTTGCCATAAATGTTGTAATTGCTGCAAGGGTTAAAGTACCGGCATGAAGATAGTCACTCATTACTAGAGTATTTGAAAACTGCAAACAAAAAACTGTTAAGAAATTAAACTAATATAAAAGAGACAACCTTAAAATAAAACATAAGAATGCTTATCCCGAGTACTCCTGCAATAACAGCATACAGCAATATCCAAATATATATTTTTTGATTAACATTTTGAAGAACCCTGCAACACTATCAAAATTAATATTTATATTGTGGTTATTGAATGTTTTACATTACTTTTGTGCTATCGAAAAACGTTTTACAGTAAGAATAATTCTTTTTAAAATTTTGTCTTGAAAACCCTTGTCATTGGGCAATTTTAAGTCATCGTACATTTCCATCTGTATATTGTGCTTTATTGAGTCTAAAAGCAAATAGCCTTGAAATCTTATATGAGACGCCCCATATACCACTTGATTGCAGCTTGCTGGTAGTGCTAGCGCCATAATTATGTAACTAGCTTTATACATCCAACAAAGTTCAGTTTTCCACTTTGGTACATAAATTTCAATTAGTTTATACACATAACATATTTCCTCTGCATTTTTTGATGGAAAAGTGTGAGCTAAACCAGCAATTAATGAAATAACTGTATTAACAATTGTGTAAACTGTGATTATCTTGATTTCAAATTTCATTCGTTTCATTATTTTTAAGTCAGTAGATTGTATCTTCCACAGCGGTGTTGATTGTAGTTCTTCAGGTGCAATATTAGAAAAATTTAAAGATGTTGCAAGTGCAAGGATAATCTAGAAATTAAATACTGTCATTTATAATTCACTCAATATTTCAAATACATTACAAAAAACGATCCAAACCAGTAAGGCGAATATGATATGAAGTAAAGACTGTTGAAATTAATAAGAAAATAGTATCCTTGAAGCATCATAAGAACTGTATTCGCTACCAGCATCACAAACATTACAAACTTCATTAGTTTATATTGAAAAATGTCAGCACACCAAAATCGGAGTAACCACAAAACATCATCTACAATTTTATTCTTGAAATTTTATGTAGGAATAGTCATCATATACCGGGTGTTCGATCTCAAACACGAAAATAGGGATTTAACATAATATTGTTTATTTTTGCTGATTTCTGCTCGCTAATACTACGTACGAGTTCCTATCAAAAGATAAAATTATTCGACGTTAAATGATTCCAAAAATAAAGCTTTAAATCGTATTTTCACTTTAAAGTACAATTTCCAAATTTATCAGTACGTGAAATAAATAGGCGGTACTTGTTGTGAGAAACGTCTAAGTTTTTTTTACAATTTATTTGGAGTTAGGTTAATATAAGAATGAATAACTACTCCAATGAAGAAAAACATTTTTGCTATTTCGGTGTTAGAATAAGTCTATTCCAGCACCCAAATGACGTCATTTTAGTGCTGGAATAAGTCGTTGGTGTTAATTTAATTTTAGTGACGGACTTTCTTCACAATTCATTTTCAGATGTGAAAATAAGAATAATTTTTATTTTTTACAGCCGCCTAAAATTATTTCACATAAATGTCGCCAACCGTCGCAAAATTCTCTAGAGAAAAAAATTTGTTTTTTAATTTATAAAATGATATAAAGCGGTAAAATAGAAAAAAATAGTATAAAGCACTTGTTGCAGAAGGTTTTTCAAGCACTCATTTGTTCCTCAACTCGCCGCTACGCGGATCGTTTCGGAATTTCAAATTTGTGCTTGAATAGATTACCTTCTGCAACTTGTACTTTAATATACTATTCTCCGCAACCATTAGTGATGTATTAATTCCGAAATCATTTTCATTAATAGAAAATAAAAATTCTCACTCTTGAGATATGTAGAATATTTATTCTGAAACATTTGCTTCTTGTGTTTTGTATTTACTTTCATTCTATAATAATAAGTGACTGAATAAATATTCTATAATTATGCTCAAGGATATACACACACTGCCATGGATCTCAAAACTGTCAGTGTTAGATCTCAATGTCAAATAACTTGTTTTGTTTAGATTTAATTATTTTTTATTCATATACTTTCTGATCGTGAAGAAAATAAGAAATTTCAGTCTGTAACTCGGTTAGAATTAAAATTCGATTTACTCGTATCGAATTTTCATTTTAACCTTGTTACAGAATATACTATTATGATCAAAACGTTTTATACATGTGTTAGTCTGCACAAAGTTAAGAGATTTGTTTTTCAGTGAGTATAAAACTGTCGGATGCAACAAACAAACAAAAATATTTTCCTATGTTCGAGTTTGAGACCGGACACCTGGTATACCTTCGAAGATTTTACAAGTAAGCCGACAATATGTATGTTGTAACTAGAAAGTTTAGTTATATTTTAGGCCGTCTGTCTGCACAAGCGTCGTTTGCCCTAATTGGAAATTTAGAGAAGAAAAAAAAAGGAAAAAAAAAACAGTATTATACTATACTATACTATACAACTAAAATACAGGGTGTGTCAGAACATAGACCTCAAAGAAAAATTTCAAGTAAGATAAGATATCAGGAACATAAAAAAAATATTTAAAAAATTCTATCTATCAAAAAAATACAAATAAACTTCCTTAAGAATGTTGGGAAAAACAAAATTGCGGTTTGATAAAAAGATAGTATACTAGAATCGAAGTGGGAAATAATTCATTACTCCGAAGGCTCGGGTTTTCTGACCGAGAAGCGCAGCCTCAAACTTAAATGAAACTCAAAGGAGTAAAATTCCCAACAATGTTTGTATACTACTTAATTCACATTCACATTTTGTTTAAGTAACACAATATTTGTTTTACTAAAAGATTTGATACATTGACGTAGTTGCCATACAAACAAATTACTTTTTGGTAGCAATGCAATGACGTACTTCTAGGTTAAGAATATTACTATAGTGACTGTAAACAAAATTTATTGGCCAGCCACAAAGGTCAAAGAGTAAAAATTAAAACCCAACTTCATCTGAGTTGCTATGTAAAATTTGTAGCTTTGGTGTTTTGTAAGAGCAAAACTAACGAGAAAGACGAGACACTATAAGCAGATAAGTAATTATCATTTATTTTGAAATTTTGATGTGTTATATTAGTGAATAGTATGACGATAGAATTCAATCATCATTCATTCAATCAAGTTTTCCCTCGTTTCTTTTATTGGATTAAGTCAAGTAAACAGTAATCAACTTTAGAATTCCATTTTATAGAGCTGGTCAGAAGATATTATCATTAACCTAGTAATTTGAGTGATTTTAAAAATATTTATAAACGGTATATTATTACTGTTTATGAATACCTAATATTAAAATTACTGTAATAAAATACGCATAAATACATTTTTTATAAAGTTTCTATATAACCTTGTGTATCAATTCTTTAATAATAAATATCTACGATGTCTTTTTTTAATTTAATAATACTTTATTAACATACCTTGAGGATATTGTAACAATTCAAGATTCACACCATTTGCACTCATCTAAAAGTAAACCGTGGTTATTAATAAATGCAATTAAAGAATAATCAACAGTCAGTTGAACAAAGGAGATGAATGCTTCAGCCAATTTACGATCTTGTTTTAAGCAAAAATTATTATACTAACAAGCACACACCCCACAACAATTATCGTATAACTTTCTTAAGTATCGTGCGATCAAAAAAAAAATAGAGTAAGCGATGATTAACGTCCTTCAGATGGCAGTCCTGATTTTTGACATCAAATGTCAGCGGAAACTTTGACAAGTTTGCGTTTTATTCATTTTGAGTGAGATAATGTTCACTTAAGAGCAGAAAATTGTTATTGCTGTACAAGACGAAAACGGTGAATGGTCATTTTTACTTTCAGTTTGTGTGGAAAATTTCCAGCCCAGATTCCCAGCCAACGTGTTGCCAACTGTAGTCGCCTACTCTAATTTTTTTTTAATCGCACGGTATATGTCAAATGGTTTGCAAACATTTCATATAAATAAACTAAATCTAATTTTAAAGAAGATTTCAACACTACTTTGGAATGATAATTGATTTTGCACTGCTTGTGTTACAAGACATTGCAGAAACATCTTGTTTACCACAATACTTTAGACCGAATCAATCAATGACTGTAACTCCTAAAGTTGATATGTGTAATATGAATTTCATATAATGTCATTCTCGAAAAGACAACAAAAAAAAACAATAAATTAAAGTTCGAATTTTAAATGTAAAAACGTATGTTATGTGATAATTGTTGTTGGAGAAGTGTCCAATGTTTCATTTTTCAAATTCAATTATAGTACACATGCGTTAGATATGGTTCTGTGTCGAATTACTTACTGCGAACTGTGTAAAATTTATATTCAAATGGTAAACATTTTAAAAACGTGACCCCTGTTTCCTTCCATAATAATTAACCAGGTGAAACCGAGATATTAATCGATAAAATTTTTAACAGCTCTAGTTATACAGTGTTTGTAATTAAACGCATAACGTTAAACTCTTTGAATGACAAAAGAAGCTGCTACTCGACATTTAAATTTACAGAAATTGCAAGACTTGCGTCCTTCTAGTTGTGGACATAAAACGTTGCTAAGTAACTAACGTTACCTAGTATGTACAGTGTTAATGTGAATGGACCCATTGCATCTAATTTTTTGAGGAGACCGCATGCGTCACCTCCGCCCCTTTTGTAACCGCGAAAAAGAAATGGTCCAATCAGAAGTGAACAGTGAAACGCAAGTTAGTGTAATCTATGGTGATTAGGTTGGTTGTCTGAATGTCTACAAGGGCACTTGACCGGCTTATGTTAGCGTGCTCGCGCTTCGCGTGGTTATAGTGTTTTGTATTTCGTTTTGTATAAGCAACTTTATTAGAACCGTGTTGAACACGCTTTTGACGTTTCGTTTTAGGTTATCCACACAGTGACTTTGGCGGCTTTGGTTGCTAGCGATTGGCATTTTATTCTAAAGCAAATTTAAAAATAATGGGTGGAGTTATTTCTCCCGCCGCGCATGCGGTACCCTCAATTTTTCCTTGATGCAATGGGTCCATTACATATTGTGGTTTTAACAAAAAAAAAATAAGAAATGCATCTGCCAAGTCATCGCTAACACAATGTGGCAGATTTTTTACTTTTCCGCTTTCACAAAGAGGCTAGTAATAACAGAACGAATAAATTTATATTAGGCGTAAAATTCTCGACTATACAGGATGTGTCAGACCTCGCCCCCCAGAGAAAAACTTCAAGTAATATAAGATACCAGGAACATAAAAAATTCTTTCTGTTAGGAAATTTTGACATTTATGTTTTGACATGTGACATTATTTATGTCTATTTAATATTACCGATGATCTGATGGTCTTGTTTTTGTGTATTTTTTTAAATAATTATTTAGTAAAGGCATAAAAATTTTGCCAATAATAACGTTAAACATAGTTACAATTAGGATACAGCTTCCTTGTTTCCTCTTTTAATAGCCTGTAACAAAAAAATTGGAAAAAATATTTTTCCCAGAAAAATAAATAGAGGCGAAGTGCAAAATTTAACCTCTCATTATTTCAACATTTTTATATACAGAATTTTTTAACATTTATTCCATGTTCCTGGTATTTTACCTCACATGGCATTTTTCTCTTTGCCGAGAGTTCTGACACATCCTGTATTCAGAGATGTTTTTTTGCATCATCATATCATTTTTTTTTTAAATATGAAGTAAATGTCTTGTTTTATCATATTTTACAAATGTAGTTTGTACAAATAGGAAAAAAATATGCATTGCCATTTTATAATGTAGTAAAAAGAAACAAAAAATTTGATTCATGCTGAGACATTTTAAATGATGCGTAATTTATTTAACTGTTTCCATATAGCAAATTACCTACGAAAGTTGACGATATCGAACGAATCGATTATTTTGCTTACCACACGTGTGTTATGAAAATAACGTAAGAGGTTGTGCGAGTGTCTGGCAAATTGCTGTTTGTTGGCCATGTGCATTGCTTCTGACTTTTATTTTATTCATCCTTCAAAATTGAAGCAAGGTTTTGTAAATAAAACCACCGACTATTTAAACCTAAATCAGCTTAATTAAGTATTTAATTTTAATAAACGCCTAATTTAATAACTGTCGATGATCTTTAAGAGAAACATTAAATGGTTTCATTGAAAAAAATGGTGCATTTCTTGTCGTGGGATTGAGGGAGCGTGGGAAAAATAGTGATTCGCTGGAAAGTGTCTAACGCATTCGGGGGAGTTCTAACTCCCCACTTGTGTGTCACTTTCCGTACGTATGTATTAATTGTATAATTAATCAGATTAAAAATTTCATAGTATATTTAGGCATAAACTGTTTGTGAATCAATTTAGTTTTCATTTTAAATCTTTGATGAGAGTCGCGTCATAACTCGCGCCCCAGAGGAAAATTCTAAGTAAGATAAGATACCAGGAACATGAAAAAAAGTCTGTCAAAAATTTTTTACATTTATTTTTTGACATTTGACATTTTTTCATGTCCATTTAATGGCACTGATGATATTATATATGTTTTTTTTATAATTATTTCGTAAAAGTACAAAAAATTTGTCAATAAAAGCAACAAATAACATTAAACAGAGTTACAATTTAGGATGCAGCTTCCTTGTATCCTCTTCTAATAACCTGTAGCAAAAAAACTTGGAAAATTATTTTTCCGACAGAAATATATCTTACTTTACATGGCATTTTTCTCTGGAGCGTGAGTTCTGGCGGACTCTGTATATGCACGTATTTTCACAAAAATATACACAAAATATTAAGAAACATGCTTCAATACAGGGCGATTCATATAAGATAATGAGCCTGACGATCTGGCGATGCAACCCAAAAAACAGATTTCATTTACGTTTTGATCTAATTTTAATTACGATTTGCATTTGCAATCCAAGTTATCTTATGTTGCTCTGATAGTGCTTTGACAAGCAATTTATGATTTATAAAAAAACTGTTTGCCTACCTTTAATGTTTCATTGTTTCATACATTTTGTATTGGGTTTACACCGAAAAGACTTCTCTAATTTCTCTATCATTCCGCGAGAACTGAATGGCACTAATAATCGTTCTCTGAACTAATGTCAGAGCTATGTGTCAGAGTGACACCAAGATGATAACTTGGATTCAACTTGCAAATCCTAATTGAAATTGGATCAAAGGCGTAAATGAAATTTGTTTTTTGGGTTGCATCGCCGGATCGTCAAGCTCATTATCTTATCTGAATCGCCCTGTATATGCCAAATACGAGTGTGCATCGATATGCAAAATTTTTAACAATAAAAAATCAAAGTTGGGATAAATTTTTATTCTCGAATACACTAAACTTTGTATTTTCGTCATCTTGAACTGCACTCGATAAATGAAAGAATAAATAAATTGGTTTGGTGTGAGACAAGCCATTTTCATAACCTAGAAATTAACCCTTTCTAAGAAATCTGTACTTTTCAGATCACAATACTTTAAACAATTTTGTTAAAATTCATTTGCAGGCAACTACTTATCCGCATAGAAAGATTTTTTCGTTTTATACCAGGTGAATAGAAATTATGGAAGCAAACGTTTTTTGCTTAAAATATTTATTTAAAAAAAAAAACTAATTGATGAATTATAAAGTTCTATAAAAATGTGATTTTTTATCAAAAATAAAATTTTTCGAAATTTTTATTATTTTGTTTTTGAGTTCTACAAAAATATTAATTTTTTAAATGGCAACCCACCAAAAAAAAAAAAACATTTTTCTCATGAAGGTCATGATCTAAGGGATTACAACTATCTACTTTATATTAAATTTTTTTACATATATCGCAATTTAGACAACAAAAATCGAATAACTCAAAAACAAAACAAAATTTTGTTCTTAAAATAAGATCTTTTTTTCTATTACTTTAATTTATATTAATTATTATTTTTTGGAAACAAATGATTTAAAAAAACAATATACATTCACCCAGTATAAAACGAATTTAAAAAGGAAACACTCAGCAGGGTACTAGTTTTTTGAGTTTGGCTTACGAACTACGGGTTGTTTTCTTTTTAAAATATTTTGTAATCGCATAATTTTTCTTGAACTGTCCAATTTTTAACTTGAACTGAAATTTTCAATCGAAAATTAGTACAAATATGCAATATTTCTTAAAATATGCACCAAGTTGACAAAATATGCATTTTGTATTTGTCTTATTTTAATCAAAAAACATTATAGTCTAAGATCCGAATTAGGGTCGACCTTCACCCATCTGCTTACCGGATGAAACTTATTTTTTATCAAATTTAATATGCAAAGGAATGTATCGCGAATGGGTTGCCTAAAAAAATATGTTCAAGGATATGATTTATTGAAAATACAAAAATTAATAATTTTTTATTACTTCACTTACTTGCTTACCAGAAAAATTAAATACCAATCGAAAGTATGAAGCCTAAGGAGTATGAAAAAATTGAGTTGCCTACCTTTTTATGTTCACTATTATTGGGTTGCCAGGTATGAACAGGTGAGTCGATGTAGTAGTTTGCACCGATCTGCTTGCGCAATAAATTATATATGAAAATAAAGATAATTTGCGAAAAAACGTTCATGAATGAGGGTTGCCGAGCTTTGAAATTGAAAAATCGAAGCAAATAAAGATGTACGACAGTGGGACGTTGGAGAAAACTTTGAAAAAATGTGGAACTACAAACTTATTTTGTTAACTTCTTCAGTTTTCATTATTTTTTAATGTTTTCACGTTGTTCCATAACACAACGATGAATCATTATATTTTTAAATTTACTAATAAAAAAACTGAAACTCATCAAAAAATCAAAATTTGTAGATGTGCCAATATTGATAATGATAAACATATTGTCATGTAAAAATAGCTATTTATGTATCAAGTACGCAAAGTAGGGTTTTAGGGGACAAATCSTAATTAATGACGAGGCGACGTAGGAGCCGAGTCTTTAATGAGAGGAGTTACCTAAAACCTTTTCCGTACGTGGTGTATACAAGATTTTTTGTTAAAGCTYCCAAAACACCTCTAACTAATTATATBGCTCATCTTCAAAAACTCAAAAAATTCGTAATTTTTTAAACTTGACTCAATAACATTTTATGCACTTTTTTGAGTTTTTAAGACCTCTAGAAATATAAAGAACGTTATATGGATCAATTTGAAAATATTTTTTTTATTTGTATCGAAATTTTGGTCTATTTTTCACACGCAGTGCGGTCTATTGCTAATATCTCAAAAACTATGCATCGCAGAGTATTTTAACCTGTTGCATCGTGTTCAGCGCCTAATTTTACATCTAAAAAATCATATTTTAAGCGTTTTACCACATTAAGTAAATTGGCTATTTTTACGATTTTACTATCGCTCACTTTCAAAAACTCCGTAATTTTTTTAATGACCCAATAGCGTTCTAGCCTGCTCTGTCGCAGTCTTCAGCGGTCTATACCACCGTGCTGGATTCGCTACAACAAAAAATTTTGCGTAGTATTTATGTAAATTCCACGTGGCTCCATGCAACTGACTCCGATTGTGTGAAACAGTTGTCTCAAAACTGCCGTTGGTTTTTAGATGTTTTTTTTAAACCAACAGGATTTGTTGGAGACCAAAAACGCCTCTGAAATTAGAGGATATTGTTGAGATGAATGAAAAACAAAAGGCTGACGAATCTTGCGAATTAGAGGGTCTATTTAATTTTGAATTTGACATTATTTAAGTATTTTTCTAATGGAATATTTTTTTTTACATGACAATACGTTTATCATTATCAATACTGGCACATCTACAACTYTTGATTATCTTTATTTGCTCCGATTTTTCAATTTCAAAGCTCGGCAACCCTCATTCATGAACGTTTTTTCGCAGGCAACCCTATACCACCGTGTTCGCAATAAAATTATCTTTATTTTCATATATAATTTATTGCGCAAGCAGATCGGTGCAAATTACTACATCGACTCACCTGTTCATACCTGGCAACCCAATAGTAATGAACAGAAAAAGGTAGGCAACCCAATTTTTTCATACTGCTTAGGCTTCATACTTTCGATTGGTATTTAATTTTTCTGGTAAGCAAGTAGGTGAAGTAATAAAAAATTATTAATTTTTGTATTTCTAATAAATCATATCCTTGAACATATTTTTTTAGGCAACCCATTCGCGATACATTCCTTTGCATATTAAATTTGATAAAAAATAAATTTCATCCGGTAAGCAGATGGGTGAAGGTCGACCCTAATTCGTATCCTCTACTATTAGATATGCATAGAAAACTTACAATTTTGTTGGTATACCTCTTAATCACATACATGTGCGCCAGAACTCGCGCCCCAGAGAAAAATGCTATCTATATAAGGTAAGATACCAGGAACATGGAAAAAATGTTAAAAAAATTTTATCTATAAAAACTTCGATGTTATGAAGGTTTAAAGTTTGCACTTTGACTCTATTTATTTCTGTTGGAAAAATAATTTTCCAAGTTTTTTTTGCTATAGGCTATTAAAAGAGGAAACAAGGAAGCTGTATCCTAAATTGTAACTCTGTTCAATGTTATTTGTGGCTTTTTGTCCCTTTACTACATAATTGTAAAAAACATATACAAGATAATCAGTATTCTTAAATAGATATAAAAAAATGTCAAATGTCAAAAAATAAATGTCAAAATTTTTTGACAGATAGAACTTTTTAAACATTTTTTTCATGTTCCTGGTGTCTTACCTTACTTGAAAATTTTTTCTGGAGCGCGAGTTCTGGCGCAGCCTGTATATGCATTTTGCATATAATCCAAGCCTTAATTATAATTATGTTATACGTATCTACAACATGAAGCAATCATGACTAAATGTCATTTTAAAAAATGCAGAATGTTTCAAGAAGTAGGAAATATTTTCCAGGTGTAACATTTATGATACAAATCTTAGAACAAAATAACTCATCAATTTTTAATAATAATTTTTAAATAATTAGAAATTCGTATTTGTCTATTTATTTTTGGGACACTTGTATAGAATTTCAAATAATTCGTGACACATGGCAGTAAAATGTTTTTAGTACTCTTTAGCAATTAAGAAGTTGTCATTGACAAGTTTATGTTTGGCAGGTTTAAGTTTTATATTTTCAGACTGATATTTGCTATTTATAGAATAAAATTTAGACTCATGCTGACATTTAGAATTTAGAATATACATTCATTATTTGGGTACTTTTATTTATAAATAATAACTTTGAAAACAAAACAAGAGATAAGATACGTTCGATATTCGAATTAAAACATATAAATACACTTTAAATTCTTTAGTGATAGTAGTATCTTTGTAAGTACAGCAACCAGATTCGTACTTCAACATGATTTTTATTTATCTTTGTTGTTTTCTTTTGTTTCTGTACTATTTCTACCAAAAAAATTACAAATATTGGGAATCTAAAGGAGTTCCTAATGAAAAACCCTTCTTTATTTTCGGAAGTTTTTACGATGTGGCTTTAAGAAAAAAACATATTTTTCACAAAATTCGTGAAATATACAACAAGTTTTCAACTCCTTATGTCGGAATCTACATCTTCAACCAACCAACTTTAGTGATCCGAAGTCCCGAACTCTTGAAAAAAGTGTTAGTGAAAGATTTCGACAAATTTATAAATCGTAAAGTGGCAGCAAACGAGGCAGTAGATCCTATATCCTTCCACACACTTTTTAGTTCGAAAAACGACAATTGGCGCAACCTTCGTGCAAAAATGTCACCAGTTTTCACTTCAGGAAAAATCAAGCTAATGTTTCCGTTAATGAAAGAATGTGGTTCAGACTTGGTTAACTACATTAAGAAACATAATGGAGAAGTTATAGAGGCTAGAGAGGTCACGAAGAAATATGCTGTAGACATCATATTTTCATGTGCATTTGGTATAAATTCATACTGTTTAAAAAATGACAATTCTGGGATTTTACAAATTGCTACACAACTTGTTGACTTTAACTCGGTTAAGAGAAACATTTCAATCTTCTGTTTCTTCTTCATGCCAAAACTGGTAGACATATTTAGACTAACCTTTGCGGACAAACAAGCTTCCGATTATTTGATGAACATTTTCAATACTACAATGGAAGAACGCAGGAAAAACGCAATCGTACGTAATGATCTGATAGACATGCTACACAACTTAAAAGAAAATAGCACCGATAAATCAGACTACACCTTTGGTAAGTTACGCTTTATTTGGAATTGACCTACATTTTGCAAATACCTACACCTTTTGCAGATGATATAAAAGTAGCTGCACAAGCTTTGTCTTTCTTTTCTGCTGGAAATGACACAACCTCTCTGACCATTACTTTTGCTCTTTACGAACTGGCTTTAAATACCGATATTCAGGACCGATTACGTGAGGACATTAGGAAACATCACGATGCTCATGGTGATTTTACTTATGAAGCTATTCAAGACATGAAATACTTAGACATGGTCCTATGTGGTATGAATATTTTCCTATAGAAGAACTTTTAACTTACATCATATTTGTAGAAACGCTGAGAAAATATCCTTTAACTAATTTTTTAAACCGTGAATGTGAAACCAAGTACACATTTGAAGAATCTGGACTCACTATAGATAAAGGCACTTCTATTCTAATTCCTGTTGCTGGATTACATTACGACGAAGAGTATTTTCCTAATCCAGAAAAATTCGATCCAGAGCGTTTCAGTGATGAAAATAAAAGTAAAATAGTTGCATACACGTATTTGCCTTTTGGAGATGGTCCAAGAGTTTGTATTGGTATGACTTTCATAAAATTACATAAAAATATACGTAATATTAACATTTTTAGGTCAAAGATTTGCTATGTTAGTGAGTAAAGTTTCTTTGGCTTATATTCTTAAAGATTTTGCCGTTAAAAAAACAAATTCTACAACAGTTCCACTTCAGTTGGATCCGGGGGCTATATTTTTAGCGAACAAAAATGGTGTTCATCTAAAAGTTGACAAAGTATAACACTATTTTATTAAGGTGTCTATAACTGTATAACATGAAAATGTGAGTTATATCTATTGTTTTTTAATAAAATATATAAATATATCATTGTATCTAAAGATTTTTTAAATAACTTAAAGTAACTTTGGTTTGGAAATCTAACCTACAAAGCGTTGTTCTACTGTAACGTAATTTTAAACAATTATTGTAACGGGTGTTACAATTTTTAATACGCCCGACCAGATGTTAAATGTCAGATTAATGACTTTCAATACGAAAGTTCAGTCACAATCAAACGTTCATCCATAGCTTTGACGCCAAATTTAAGTTACAGAATGTTTCAAAACTCGCGGCCCAGAGAATAATGCTATATCAGGAACATGGAAAAAGTGCATTATTATGCACAATATACTATTGTATATTAAAGAACAAGTTTTATAAGGTTTGGTTTGGTGCACGAATCCCAAGTTAAAAAACGCACCGTAGGCGAGTTTTCTATGGGATGAGTGCGCCAATGCCATTATAAAACGAGTATTTTATACTATTTCTTTCAAATTTTCGCCCCCCTTTTTCTTATTTTAATTAAAAAAATATATATTTTTGTCGTCTAGAGAATTTTTTGTTAGTTGGTATCGGGTAATACTCGGCGCCCACCTATTTTTTTAATCATTTCTGCCGTCTGTCATTAAAAATAAATTTTACTAATTATTAGTTATTCGTGTTACAACATAATAATAATAATAATAAATAAAATATGAGCCAACAGAATTTAGTTTGCACTCCGCCCGAAATTGCCGAAGCAACAACGCAAAATATGTTTTTTTCTATTTCGGTGTTAGAATAAGTCTATTCCAGTACGCAAATGACGTCATTTGCGTGCTGGAATAAGTCGTTCGAGGTAATTTAATTTTAGTGACGGACTTTCTTCACAATTCGTTTTCAAATGTGAAAATAAGAATATTTTTTATTTTTTACAGCCGCCTAAAATTGTTCCACACATAAATGTCGCCAACCGTCGCAAAATTCTCTAGAAAAAAAAATTAATCTTCGTTTTTTAATTTATAAAATGATATAAAGCGGCAAAATAGAAAAAATAGTATAAAGCACTTCTTGCAGAAGGTTCTTCAAGCACTCATTTGTTCCTCAACTCGCCGCTTCGCGGCTCGTTTCGGAATTTCAAATTTGTGCTTGAATAACCTTCTGCAACTTGTACTTTAATATAGGTATTATACTGTCAGGTATGCGGCTGTAAAAAAATTGACATTTATTTTTGACATTTGACCTTTTTATGTCTATTTAATGTTACCGATGATCTGATATAGAGGTGTTCGTTTTTCGAGCTTTACCATGGGGATCTTGCGCATTTTTATGCTGAACAATAATTTGACAGAAAATTTAATGTGTCATTATTAGTTTTTGAATTATTAGAAAAAAACGGAAATTTGTCATTTTTGTTTTTACTTTTTCAAGCGAAAACTAAAAGACCTAGACGTTTTTAACTGGGACGTTCTTAAGGCACTTTTTTACAAGAAATCTAAATCTGTCATCGTATTTTCCAAGGCGCTCTTGATATCAGAGTTACAACATTCAACATTGAATTTTCTTATGGGCGCCATATTTGATTTGTGTATTTTTAAAAAGTCTTTTTGTTCCTGATTACAACGATGATGATTTATTTTTATTTATTTGGAAAAAATAACTCAAAAGTGAGTTTATGGTTAATAGGTCTGAGTCAATTTTACTCAGTTTTGAGTATTATTAAATTGTTTCTTTGGTTTATAGCAGTTACATATGGTATACTATACTATAGCATTTACAATCATTTAAATCATTATCATGTAAATTTACAATTTACATATATAATAGATATTTGTTAGTTACATAGAACATTTGTTTTAGGTAGATGGAACAAGAGTTTGCAATGCTTTATCCTAACGCGCCAACATTGGTTGAATATTTCCCTGTCAGAGAAGAAAGAATTTTTAATGTTTACAAGCAAACATAAAAACCCAGCAATATAATTCTACCGGAAAATGAAGAATCTGACAATGGTATTGAAGGAGTTATCTGGACTTCTAAAATGAAGGAACTTCGTTAGAATAATTATAATAATAAGTATTGATTTTTTTATAATACTTAATTTTAATGATTTTATTTTTCACATTTCCTTAATATGTTAATTTTGTGTACTTTGTATCATAATGAAATAGACATTGTTGCTTTAATCAAACACTTAAGAACAAGGAAACATATTAAGATCCAAATATGTTATTTTACAAGGAACCGTATGAGTTTCATCAAAGTTACAGCAGCAATGTTAATTTAGTTACCTCAAATTTTAAGTTTTGTTAAACCGTTCATAATGTTACTTTAAATAATTTTTCATAATACAGTCTTATAGTTACATTTGTCTATCATTTCAAAATCAACCTCTACCTAAATAAATACATTGAATTTTAACACAATTTTGAGTAACAAAATATAAGAAACCTACTCAAAATTAAGTCAATTGTCACTTAAATTTGATTAGGTTATATCACAAAGTTGAAGTAAAATTCACTCAATAATGTGTGTATTTCACTCACAAGGTTTTCACTCAAAAATACGATCATATACTCAAAAAATATGTGTAAAATATTAACACAAAATAGAGTGGACTCTCCTGGACACCGAAATTGAGTTAGATTTAACTCAAAATTTCTTACATGTTTTTTTATGATCATTTGTAAAGGTACAAAAATTTTGTCAAGAAAAGCCACAAATAACATTAGACAGAGTTAGAATTTAGTTGTTTCCTCTTTTAATATCTTGTAGCAAAAAAACTTGGAAAATTATTTTTCCAACAGAAATAAATAAAGTCAAAGTGCTCTCGTAACTTAGAAATTTTTATAGAGATATTTTTAAACATTTTTCTTGTTGTCTAGGACACCGCCCGATGACACAGCGTCACGGAGGTACCGGACTTTCCGGACATCCAGATAAACACAAAAAATGTGTAAAACTTTTTGTCTCATTTAATTATTTATTTCTTTTATTTCTTATTTTTACTGTTTTTAGTAAGTATATCAAAAAAATTGAATTTTTGGCTAGAAAATAAATTAGGAATAGTGTTTTTTAGCATTCTACTAACAGCACTGTTTCCTAAACAATGCCCATTTTTTTGGTGTTTATTATCTGTAAAATAAAATTAAGCAAAAATTCTGCAGTTCCAAAAAAAAAAGTTTATAATAAAGTTACGAAAAAAGAGGATTTTATAACATGGTATTATTTTTATGTACTCGTATGTAAAATAAATAAAATAGGACTTGATTTATTGGGAATATTCTTTTCAAGTTTTCATTATAAAGCTGACTGTAATTCAGGTAGGGTATTATCCGTCCATTTGAACGGTTAATAAGTGATTGTGACATAACAGGTGTGCCTAAACCCTAAAGGTCATTAGGCACTAAGGGAAGTATTTCGCCCTTTTTCCAAACGCTTCAATTTTGGTAGTTTTCGATCTAATTAATAATCAAAATCCAGGCCGTTCCTAAATCCCACATTAAAAACATTGAGAGTTCTAACAATGATATTTATCTAAAATTTTGTTTATAGTTATAATCGGTTAGGTTCTGCTAAGTGAAATATTTTCAAGATGGCGGCATTTTCGGTTACTCTGGAAACTTCGTTGATACCCACTTCCGGTGTAACCGAAAGTGCCGCCATCTCAAAAATATTTTCATTGAGCAGGACCTAACTGATTATGGCTATACACAAAATTTTAAATAAATATTATTGTTATTGTGTGTCGGATAATAAAAAATAACTAAATATTTGTGTTGACAACAGAATTAAAAAAGCCATGTTAAAAACACATTTTAAGGATTGTTTTCGTAATGCTTTATTAAGCTCTACCCACTAAACAATCTAAATACGTTTTAAATTTCGTTGCAATCCATTAGCAAATAACAGAGATATTAGATCCGAAAGTCTTAGGTGGGTTACACTGCATATAAAAACATGTATCTATTTATAAATTATTTATTAAAATAACATTTTATGTACATCTTCAATTATCCTGTCATTACTTCTTTTACAGAATAAAACACTTCTACTTAAGATCACATAATAAAAGATTATCTTTGAAAGAAACATTGTGAATCCTGAAAATAAACATTAACTCACCTAACAATAAAATTATAAATACAAACCTTTTTAAATGCGTTGTTAAATTACGCTCTTTTGAAAAACTATTAGCACAATAAAAACACGAATAGGGCCTATACCCCTCATGGATTCTTTTATGTCTCTCCAACTCTTCCTCCGTATCAAATCCCTTTTCACATTTCGTACACCTGAATTTTTTATCCATACCGTGGATCTTTTTATGCTTTCTTAAAACATCTTTCGACGCATATTTCTTATGACAAATATCACATTCCAAATTTCTCGGTTTTTCGTTTGGTACACTAATAGGATTGGTCGTTTCTTGTAACAATTCTTGATCGGTATTAACTGTCTTAAAATTAACAACTGTTCCATCGTCTAACTGAATCAAAGATGATGAAACTAAATTGTATTGCATCAAAAAATTTGACTGCAACTGTTGCAGAATTAACGGCTCAAGCTGAGTTGTTTCGGTTAATGGATTCTGATTAGAATCATTCAGAAGATTCAACTGAAAAACAACATTGTACTCTTACTTACAATAAATCGTGTCTTACCGGCTCTTGCACCACTAGAACATTTTCCAATTCGCCCCCTGTTTCTTCATTTTGTAAACCAATCTGATCCGACTGATTTAAAACATCCATTGCTACAGACTCAAGTAAGTTCGTAACTTTGTTTTTCATTTTCTTCTTTGAAGGATTCAAGTGAGAATTGTTTTCGTGTGATTTTCGATGAGCAGCCGTTCTGAATTTAGCGGAACAAAAACTACATTTATGACTTTTATCACCTGTATGAACGCTCAAGTGAACTTTGAGGCTAGATTTCGAAGTGAAAAATGAGTTACAAACGACACAACTAAACTGTTTATGACTAATCGGGTTGTGTGTGCGTTGATGCGACAACAGAGTCGATTTTAAAGAAAACTTCTTTTCGCACTTGTCACAAGCGAAAGGTTTTTCCCCGGTATGTGTGCGAATGTGGCGTGTCTAAAACCTAGATTACATTTAAATGTAACTACAAAGAAAAACACCAACCAAATCGGAATGCTTCTTGAAACTTTTTTCGCAGAAACTGCATTGGTGTAAACCACTTCCAACCCTTTTCGTTTCTTTGTGACTACTAACATGTTTCAAAAACGTTTTTTTATTACTGAAAACCTTGCTACACTTTTCGCATGTCATTGGACGACTCTTCGCTTCATCATTTTCCTTAGCTAGTTCAATATTCAAATCGGGCACTTCATTGATATTAATATCGGGTAAATCACAATTGTTGGAAACAAATCCAGTGTCTAGATTGAACAGTAGATTTAGTTCCGACTGTGGATATAACGGTATGTTGGTAGTTAGAAGATTATCATTTGTGACTTTATCAGTTGAGTTGCTATTAGTTTGCATATCGTTGCCGACTTGATTAAATGTTTCCGTGGCTTGTGTTTGAAAGCCTCCATTGAGAGAATTGATACTGAAAGTATTTGTTCCTTGAAGTTCATTCAGTGGATCAAACAACACTGAATTTGTGTTCGTTGAGTACAAATTATCGGTTAGTGGCAAAGTATCGCAATTAATGAAAATTGTTTGGATTTGGTTTGGATCTTGCACAATATCCTTGTCAGAGTTTGTAATTATTTGGATAGAATTTGGTGTTACTTCATATAATTGTTGATCAATTTGATTCTAAAAAATTGCATAATACAAGAAAATACAGACTGTTTCAGACTGGCGCCTCAGAGAAACATACTAAGTAAGATAAGATACCAGGAACATGGAATAGTTATTTACATTATACGTGAAGTAGGTATAATTTTACAGCGTGAAGCCTTAATATTGAAGCTCGAAGCAAAGCTGAGAGATTTAATAAAATTGAACGCTGTAAAATACCTAAAATGTACAAAACTTTTGGGCCGAAGACCGTTTTTCGATTAATTGAAATTTTGATTTGTCAACACTTACTTCCTCCTAACAAAGATAGTCACACACTCAACGGCTCGTGAAAATCATGGGGAAAAAATGTAAAAAAAAAAATTGGATACGGAATTTGTTCGGTCTTCAAATTGACTTTTCATAACGAATTCTTTTAGTGGTTAGTATATTGTTAGTATATTTGCCCGTAATCCGCAAACACCCTGTATAAAAATTTTTAACATTATTTTCCATATTCCTGGTATGTAATTTTACTTGGCAATTGTTTTCTCTAGCGCGAGTTCTGAAAGAACCTGTATATCAAGAGGTGGATTAGAAACTTACCACTATCTGATTTACATTTGGTAGAGTAACTAACTGGAGATTACTGGTATCGATTTGTGTGCTACTTTCGATGGAATCTTGATTATTTGTTAATAAACCGGGATTTGAAACCGAATCAGGTAAAACAAGTAGTTTTGTTTTTTCAGAAATATCCAAGTTTTTTGTTTCATTAGTCCTGTTCTGAGCAGTAATCTAAAAATTTCAAAATTTGAAAATTAATACTAATTGATATTAACACTATTAAGATTAACAATTTTTTAGTTTTCGCAGCAAAGAATAAAAAATAACATCAGAGAATTATGGCTCAAGGAACGAAATATTATTTATGATGAAACAGCAACAAAGCCAATATTCTACAACATAATTAAGCAATATAATAACAAAAATTCCTTCTACATTTTAGATAGTGAAATGGTCAAAAATGGACATTTTGTTCTTCGGCTTCGACCACACCACAGCATAGTTAAATCGTATGGACTCTAGTAAAAAAAATGTGTGGCAACAAAAAATGTTAATTTTAGATTAAAAAAATGTCGAAAAACTAAAAAAAAAATAAATATGCGGCAATTAAGTTTATTATCTAGACATGTTGATGAGTTTGTCATGTTTAATGCGGCCGATGTGTTGTTTCACAGTACATACCGGCGATTAAAAAAGAAAATTTTGCTGGTTTGACAACAAAATTTTGTAATTTAGCATTGTTAAAAGACATGATAACATCACATTTTATATTCTATTAGATCAGAAACTCTTAGGTAGGACACCTTGTATACTAAATACAAAGTGATCCACAATGAATGAATCTGTTGGCAATCCTGCCTCTAATTTTTAAAGGTTACCATTGGAGTACGCTTTTGATTAACAACAATTCAACACTCTTGAAAATGCTATCTTTTTACTTATTTTAATTAATTTATAGTTATAGTCTTTTATTAAGAAACACACTATAATTTTGAGAATTTTTACCAAAGCAATACAAAAATTGCAAAATTGGCTTTAAAATGTGATATGTTTTATAAAAGTAGCATTTTTGCCAAGAAACTCACAAAATTCGAAATATTTCGTTCAAAAAAAAGTTTAAGAAAGCCAAAAAACTTTGATTTATTACATATTTCGTTAAGGTTTTTTTTTCACCGCAAAATTAAATGGATTTGAAAAAATGTGCTTATTTTTGAAGTTCAGTTGTTTTTTCCTTCGGAAAAATAAGTATTGCTTTTTTATTACAAAATTCTAGAGATTTCGTTAAAAAACTGCCAAAGTTAGTTAGTACGTCAAGTATTTGTGAAGCAAAACCGTATCCTGTTGCAAACTATTAACAAAAATAATTTCAAATCTGTTACCAACTTCATACTTTAAAAATAATATGTATAGTTGTTTTCATATTAAAGTGCATCGAAGTAGTCGTTGATAGGGAACATTTTAAGTTGGCGACCATGCGAAAATTCAAACAATCCTAATCTCAATCCTCTCTAAAAATGTGTACCCCACACAAAAAAATAATTAAAGCTAACAACGTAATTAATATAGGGTAGCAAACATACAATTTTATATCAATATTGAAGTGATTAAATTTGTTCTGAATGACATTAATGACACTATTTGTGTGAATTAGCCTTTCAATTAAAGTTGCATTTACAATTCTACAACGTACGTGATGCACATTAATATGAAAAAGAGTATACAGGGTGTTTCAAAAAACTTTACGAGGCTTGCGCCTAATGTACGCACCCAAATATACAAAAAATACACATTTAATTATTTAGTTCTTTAGTTCTCTTCAATTGCAGTTTTTCAGAAACAATTATCATTTGTTCTATCAAAAGACAGCATGAATATGATTCTAATTTATCTATCTTAATCACTAACTAGCTAAAAATGTTGTAATTTTTGAAAGGGCGAACAAACTAGAGAAGACAATCCAGTTTTCAAAATTTGTAATCGAGTTCGTATCGGAATATGTATTATTGATTGCATCTTACTGGCGCAGGCCTCGTAAAATTATGTGAAACACCCTGTATATGCAATGTGACATGTCTTTACATTTATTGCCAACATAATTTCAAAATCAGAGGTCACATTGATTAGAACATTTGAACACATAGGGTTGTGAAAAACTCACTGTTACCGTGAGTTCAAATTATACCAGCTTAAGTTTCGGGTTGAGCGTGAATAAAATGTCGTATTTTTTAGCAGAAGAAGCATGTTGTTTATGTAAAATAACAGAAATATTCAAACATCCGTGCTTCTACGATGACAAAACTTGCTAAAAAGGGAAGGAGAATAGAGTTGCATTATAATTACGTAAGTTTTTGAAACTGTTTGCCTTGCTAAAAATTTCACCGAACACCACTGGTTATATTTCTAGTAGTTATTTCAAAAAGGAGCTACAGTTATACGAGAAAATATCCGCGTTCTCAACCCAATCACACAATACATAATTAGTTTACATTTTTTGTATTGTTTTATTAAAAAAAATAAATAAATAGACGCTAAAATTTGATACTTCTGATAAATGCTATTAAAGCAAAACAGTCAATTGTAAATTTCAATTTTTTTGTTGAGAACTAACGTATTGTAATGTATAGGTTATTTTTTTTTTACAAAACTCTCATCTGCACACATGCAACACTCCCTCGCTTCGCTCGTTCACATTCACAGAAACATCTGACTCACCTGTAAGTTAATTTCTTTCTTGTGTACATTCATATGTTTCCGACACAACATAACACTTTTGAAATTTTTACTACAATATGGGCAAATATAAGGCTTGTTCGTACTATGGCTGATGGCATGTCTCTTTAACAACGAAGCCGTCGTGTATTTCTTTCCACACACTTTACAGCCGAAATTCTTTATACCAGAATGATACAACGAATGTTCCTTTAATGCATGAGCCGTATGATAGGACTTCATACACTGACCACATTTGTATTTCTTCCCGCCGTTATGAAGCAACATATGACGTCTCAAATTGGGTACTTTACTAAATCTGGCACAACAAATCGGACACTGGATTTGCTTTGTATTTGCTGTATGATGCAAATTAGATTTCGGTGGTGCCACTGGCAATAAACCGTTAGGAGTGTTAATTAAAGGTTGTTTCAGCAAAATTTCCGATGAGTCTTTCTTAGATGGTTCATTATGTACTTCTCTATTGTGTAGTTTAGCTTTCTGAATAGAACTAAAACTCTTGTTGCAAGATAAACATTTATACTGTGACTTCTCGTGATGCCTCCTAAAAACATGTTTTAAACATTTTGAAAGACTTGTAACGAAATGAAACCTCAAGTGCGCGTTGAAGGACCGAAACGAAGAAAATTTTTTCATACAAATAGAACAAATGTAGTTATTGTTACCACCATGAGTTTTAATGTGTGAAAAAAGACTAGCTTTCAACGAAAACGAAGCACCACATTTGTTACACTAGAAAAAAAAAAGTTTCAAAATGAAGTCAAATCGGCTAGTTTTTACCGTAAATGGCTTTTCCCTCGTATGAACCCTTGTGTGTCTAATCAGATCCGATGGTTTTTTAAACTCCTTCTCACAGTAACTACAAATATACCATCTAACATCATTAACTTTTTTTTGCATAACTAAATATTGTCTAATGGTTCCATCAAGAAAAGATTCTGCTAATCTCACAAAACTGGTGTTGGAATTCTCCACACATTCTTTATTTTCATTCAAAACTTCCTTATGTGAATCCGCTTCAGGAGTCACCATAGTAACTTGTTCCAATTCTTTCAACCGACTCATAACATGCGAAATACTCGTTGACTCTTCACTATTCGCATGAAATTTCGTAATGTGGACGTTCAACGATGCAATTTTCTTAAAAATGCAAGTACAATGCGAACATTTGTACATTTTAACACCAGGCGTAGGTGCCGTATGTGTTTTTTCAACATGTACTCGCAGATTGCCTTTTTGACTGAATTTCGCTGAACATAATGTACAGTGAAACGGCTTAATTCCAGTATGTTTGCTAAAATGAATTTGCAGAGTGCCTTTTTGGTTGAAACCTCGATTGCAAATTTGGCACTAAAAATAATAATGTTAAAGTATTTGTGTTTATCTAAAAATATGGAAAGGCTTACGACGAACGGTTTTTCGCCACTGTGGACACGTGAGTGTCTCTCGAGGAGTGAAACTCGGGAAAAACTTTTCGAACAAATGTTGCATACATGAGGATATTCCTTATTGCCGTGGGTTTTGCGGGTTTTTTTGCCCGACAAGACCATCTTCTTCACCTGCAATTTTAATAATGTGTATCTATAACATAATAATCACAAGGAAAATTCTCATATTCAAATATTTGTGCAATAGAAATGCGAAAACCATAGAAAAGAAAAATAAAATCCATATTACGTATTTTGTTCCTTCCATTTTCTTTTTCCTTTATACAATTATCAAATTAATTTATTTACGATTTATTTATTACTATTACCTATTGTGGACAAGTCAAGTTATATTTTTATAGTACAATCCCGTTTTTAAAGATGAAGAATGAGTGCCTCAAGAACTTATGAAATGAGTTTTTTTTTATAGATAGTCCTATTTTTTGTAATTTGCCCTCTATATGCCGTTATTAGACAAACTTTTTTAATCGAATTTGAGTTTATTGTGACGTTTGGTAATGTCTTAATTTTAAAAGTAAAAATTTAAGTTAGTGGCTTTTTTATTATTAAGACAGAAAAAAATTTCAATTAAGATAACATGCCATGAAATAAATGTTTAAAAAATTCATTAATTTTTTAGCATTTGACACTTTTTGTCTATTAAATTGTATTGTCTATTTAATGGTACTGATGATCTTGTATATGTTTTTTTCCAATTATTTAGTAAAGGTACAAATATTTTGCTAATAAAAGCCACAAATAACATTACGTTACATGAGTTACAATTTAGGATACCTACAACTTCCTTGTTTCCTCTCCTAATGGACTGTAGCAAAAAAACTTAGAAAATGATTTCTCCAACAGAAATAAATAGAGTCAAAATGCAAAATTTAAACTCTTATAACTTCGAAATTTTTTGATAGATTTTTTTAAACATTTTTTCAAGTTCCTGGAAACCTCACCATTTTTCTCTGAGGCGCAAGTTCTGGCGCATCCTGTGTGTATACAAGGTGTTAAAAAAACATTGTAAAATATTTCATGAGGTAAACAGTATGAACCAAAACAAACAAACAAGTCTTAATAAACATGTGTTCCCAAAGTAACGATTTCAAAGGTACTTATTAATAATTATTCGTTTTTTAGAACATTTATTTGCAATCTGTTCAAACAAAAAAGAGAAGCTTCTAGTAAAAATTCTAAAAATTTTCACATTCGATATCTCCAAAACCGTTACATTGAGGACCCATGTTTATTGAGACGTTTTTGTTTATTTTGGTCCATACTATTACCTCCTTAAATATTTCACAATATTTTTTTAACACCCTGTATAGTAAAATTTTGAAAATGCCAAAATCACTGGCAATATGTATGGCTTTATTTTCAAATTACATCTTTATTGGATATTTTACTGTCTGCACAACTGTCCCAATGAAAATAAAAAACTTAAAAAAAAATTCAGTTTAAATCGGACCGCCTTGGAGACATATTTCATTAGTTATTAAGAAAACCGAATAGGCGGGCCAGATAAAAAGTAATCGCGGCTCCAAAAAAACAAAAAACATTTTAAACTTTGCCACCCTGTAACTTCTAAACGGTGCAACTTGATAAGTGGGTTAAAACACTTTATTTTGACCTGGAAAATCTCAGATTACTCTTTGTCTCAATCTTTTCGTTACATTCTGTATTTCAGGAATAGTAAAAAATATTTTTTAATTTCTTCAATGATCAAACGGAATTTTTTGTATGTACAGGGTGCTGCATTTTGGATGTCCGAATAGGGAATCTCCGAAACTAAGAGGTTTAGCCAAAAACGAGTGATACATTCTGGCTCTCATTTTTTGAGAAAATAATATTGGTTAAAACCGTATCCCGCTATCGTCTTTTGTTTTCGACTTACAGACAAAAGTTGATATTTTGGCGAAATCTAAAAAAATTTATATCTTCGTTATTATAGAAGATACGGATTTGAAATAAAGACATTATAGAGGCAGTTTCTTACGAGAAATTTAATAATGTAGTTAACAATTTTTTTCAGTTATTAGTTTAGCCGTAATAAGATAAACTTGTATTTTTTTAAATAGAAAACATAGGCGGCTATGACAATTTTGAAAAGCTTATTTTTTTCTGATATAAAAAATATATATTTGTAACAAAATATTTTTTTATAACTATACTTAAAAAGGGAAATACATATTTTGTGTGATAACAGTTGGCCATGGAAAAACTATTTCACTCCAAATGTGTAAATAATAATCAATAAGAGTTTTGTGAACTGTAAAATAGATGAAAAAATAGTTAAAATTATAAAGATTTAAAAAATACGATACGGTAGAAGCATTGAACAAATATCAGAGCGCCTCAGAACAAAATGATTACATATTTTTAAAAAATCGAAAAATAGGAAAAACAAATGTGTCAACAGTCAACACAATTAGAAAAAACATTTTTTGATGATCTAATGGAGGTAGGATAACGTTTCACATAGACGGAATTTGGGTATTTGAATAACCATATCGTCATCTTTGTGTCATATAAAATATATTTTATTGAAGAATTAAAGCGGCTTTTTTTTACAACATTCTATGTATCACTAGATGTTGTAATGGTAATGTTAGCTTGTTTAAAAACAAAGAAATGTTATTAGTCGCCAATAAGTTGATTTACAATTTTTTCATTTCATTACTTAGTACTTAGAAAACTCTTTCATTGGTGATACTGGTTGAATATAATATAGTTTAAATCCTTTCGGTTGAAGATGCAACATTTTTTCATGGCCAACTGCGAACAAAAATCAAAGATAATTTTTTGCTAAAAATGTATTATAATAATTTGTTACAAATATATATTTTTTAGATAAGAAAAAAACAAGCTTTTTTAAAAATGACATAGCCACCTATGATTCCCATTTAAAAAAATACAAGTTTATTTTATTACGGCTAAATAAACAACTGAAAAAAATTGTTAACTACATTATTAAATTCTACGTAAAAAGTGCCTGTATAATGTCTTTATTTCAAATCTGTGTCTTCTATAATAACGAAGATATGAATTTTTTTATATTTCGCTAAAATGTCAATTTTTGTCTATAAGTCGAAAACAAAAGACGATAGCTGGATGCGGTTTTAACCAATATTATTTTCTCAAAAAATGAGCCCCAGAATGTATTACTCGTTTTTGGCTAAACCTCTTATTTTCGGAGATTCCCTATTAGGACATCCAAAATGCAGCACCCTGTACAGTGATGGACAGTGAATTTCGTCCACCCAATTTCTGTGAATTCTGAAAAATTCACTGTAGTCTGTGCTTTATTGTCAAGATAACTGACATTCAAATACGTATTGTCAAATGTAATCAAATTCGAACATGCCACCAGTAAGTGCGTTTAATAAAATAAAAATTATCTCCCTGGTACAAGAAGGTATGTCCCAAAGACGTATCTCTATACTTTTGGGCATACTAAGGACTCCCATTTCAAAGGAGAAAGATAAAAAGTAGCAAGAAGCATCGAGCATTTTGTCAATATAATAAACATTAATCAAAATTCTGAAACAAGGTTAGGAAAACCTAAACACTAATTTACACTTTTAATCTGTCAGGAAAATTGGGTGGACGAAATACACCGTGCATCCTGAACAATTGTTTAAAAAAAAGATAAGATTTGCACGTTATGTGCACAATTTACCAATTTCGAGCAATAATAAAAATCTCGATAAAAATATTGTATTAATTTTAACAATCAAGACAAATAACAAGTTTGCAACATTATTAAAGATCAATTCACAGTTTTTAAAAATAATCTAGTGTTTACCACACATAAAAAAATTCGACAAAAAAATTCATGCAAAATATTTTCGCATCTTTTGTTCTCTGCTACCATCTTTAAAAATTTCTGCAGTACTAATAAAAATATCCCAATAAAATAGTTTCTTATTTTCAAATACGTTCATCCCTACCTTTACATGATGAGAAATATGCTCTTTGTAACTTTTATGATCATCCAATTGAACACTGCAGTAAGTACAAACTAAATTATTGTTTTCTTTGGAATTATTTTCCAAATGACTATGATAATGTTTCTCTAGTTCTTCCTAAAAACAATCAATAGTAAAACTATAATTAATAAAAGACAGCATCACACTTCTTTTTCAAATTCAGCCCCACATTCCTCACAAGTGTACAATTCCTCGACCTGGTGCAACATCAAGTGAGACTTTAAACTCGCCAATCTTTGAAATGAAATATGGCAAATTGGACATGTTGGTTTTCCTTCAGTATGCATGGCCATGTGAATCTTTAAATTTGTTTCTACATTGTAACCTGCGGGACATTTTTCACATTTAAATTTTTTAATACTTCGGTGCCATATCATATGCTTTCGGTATAAAACAAGTTTTTCAAACACTTCTTTGCATTTCGAACACTTGTATGTTTGTTTAGTTGAAGTTTCTTCATTATTTACACTGAAATAGAGTTAATACTGTGGGCAACACAAATTTAAACTTCTTACGTTATTGATGGCTTGTCTGGAGTGGTGCTTGGCACTGGCGTGATTTCGACAGGGGGCAAATAGGTTACTTGTGGCAACCCATCATTAACCTAAAAATTATAACAGTTACAAACGTGTTGAGTATCAAAAATTTGTAAAGTACCTCATTTGCGTCTATAAGACATAGCGAACCATCAGATAATTTCTTGATGATGGCATTTTTGATTATCCTAAATTGTTCTGGTTTTTGGAGGATGTTATTTTCCAAATTGTCCACTGGTAGTGCAACAAAAGTTGGAATGTTGTCCATTGGGTAACTTTCCTCCGACATTTAAACGGTTTTTACTTTTTCCCAGTTCTTTAATTACTTGTTACAAAAATTATACTTTGATTTCTGCTTATTTGTAGGTTAGTTTATCAACAACTGTCAAGAAGTCAAAAGTCAAGCACATAACGAATTTTAGTAAAACCGAAACGTGTTACTAAAACAAAATATAATATCATGATTAAGTTATCTCCACACGTTCTAAACACTTTTTTGTTACTTTTAATCCGCAATTGTAATTAATTTAATTTGAAATTACTGCCTTATAAGTTCGAAACTGTAAGATTTCACCTTTTCGGGACACATCTGATTACACAACTGTCATAACAAAAATTCTTCCGTTATGTCATCTCAAGCAGTTAGGGCTGCAACTAAACAAGTTAGGCCCATTTTATCCACCGATCCCCATGAGGCTCGACAAAGAGTCTTAAATTTGTACAAGGCTTGGTATCGCCAAATACCATACATAGGTTTAGTGAAACTTGACATAACCTTACTTTTACTAAAATATTTTTTTACAGTGAAACAATATGATATCCCCAAAAGTGTTGATAATTTAAAAGCCAAGTTGCGAGAAGAATTTAGAAAGAATGACCACATAAAAGATATTCGTGTAATTGATATGCTGGTTGTGAAGGTAATAAATAATTAATAATTGTGTTATTTGGGTTCAAAGGTGTTGTTTTAGGGCCAAATGGAGTTGAAGGAAACGGTGAACTTCTGGAAACAAAAAGGAACGTTTATGAGTTATTTCAAGGATACTGTTGAGCCGAAACAGAAAGATTTTCTATCGAAATTTTTTTCAGGTCATTAGATAAAATGTAATGAAAAGTAGTGATATCAATGTATGCATAAACAAATTAATAAAGTGATACGAGTAGAATTGATAAATTTAAAATGAACTCAGTTACATAACCTTCAATATTTCAGTTGCATTTTGTGCCCAGTGAACAATGAATTGTGGGACAATTACCTTGGTTTTATTAAACTTTTTGCTAAATTTCTCATCTGGCGCATTCCCTAACGTTTATGTACCCATAAAGGAAGAACCTATTGGTGATAATCCGGGGTTACCCCTAATCCTAACCCCACTTATTGAGCAAGGCAAGATTCAAGACGCTTTAACCGCATCTCAGGTTTATTTCAATGGCTTCAAAACCATCAAAAGCTACTCTGGATACTTAACTGTGAACAAACCTTACAATTCAAATCTATTTTTCTGGTTTTTCCCTTCGCAAACCGACTATGAGAACTCTCCGGTCGTTCTGTGGCTACAAGGGGGTCCAGGAGCCACCTCTTTAATTGGATTATTTGCCGAAAATGGGCCTTTTGCCGTGATGAGACAACATGGTCTCAAATTGCGTAAATATGCCTGGATTAAAACACATTCCGTGATTTATATTGATAACCCCGCTGGGACTGGGTACAGTTTCACCAACAACGGGTATAGTCAAAATGAGACACAAGTGGGGCTTGATTTGTACAACGCGCTTCAACAGTTTTTCCTTCTGTTTCCTGAGTTGCAAAAGAACGATTTTTTCGTAGCTGGAGAGTCCTATGGGGGAAAATATACCCCAGCTATTGCATATACTATTCACATGAAAAACCCCACAGCCAAGTTGAAGATTAATTTGAAGGGGATTAGTATTGGAAATGGATTGACTGATCCGGTCCACCAGCTTAATTACGCCGATTATTTGTATCAGATTGGTTTGATTGATTCAAATGTTAGGACCACTGTGAAACAGTATCAAGACCAGGGAATTAAATACATCCAAAGCAAAGATTGGGTCAAGGCGTTTCAATTGTTTGATAATCTCCTCAACGGCGACTTAAACAATCACACTTCCCTATTCAAAAACGTCACAGGTTTCACCAACTATTTCAACTACTTGTACCCCACAGACCCAAGTAATGAACTGATTTACATGGGACAATACATACAGAGGGACGACGTACGGGCCGCGATTCATGTGGGCAATGCAACGTTTCATGGTGAAAGTCAGGATGTCGAGATCAATCTCATGACGGATATTATGCAGTCGGTTGCACCCTGGGTGGCAGAATTGCTTAGTCATTATAGAGTTTTGATTTATAATGGACAGTTGGATATAATTGTGGCGTATCCTCTGACTGTTAATTATCTACAAAATTTGAATTTCTCTGCTGCTGATGAATATAAAAAAGCTCAAAGGTATCAGTGGTATGTTGATGAAGATTTGGCTGGATATGTTAAGCAAGCAGGGAATTTGACTGAAGTTCTGGTACGCAATGCTGGGCATATGGTTCCAGCGGATCAACCCAAGTGGGCGTTTGATTTGATTTCAAGATTTACACGTAATAAACCTTTTCACTTGTAACTTGTGATTACTTACTGTCATATTTTGATAATTTTTAGTAACATACTCGTATCTTATGTTTATTGTAACTACATTTTTGAATAAACATAAAAAACTGCAGTTATTTTCTTTATCATATTTATGGCGATCTTATTTAACATTTTATTTTAAACATGACTATCAAACCAAATATTAAAGAAATTATAATGAATTTTTATTTAAAAAAAAACAGAAACAGCTTGAAAACAAAACAAATATTAAACAGGGAAATCTTAATTACTGATTTGTTGTAGTGCTGATGAACTACGACAACCCTTTTAATATTGTGATTACGAAAAAATCTAATAGTTCCTCCCAATTAATTTCGTCTATAAGTTATCACGTACAGTGTAGTTACTTTGAAATCAGTATTAACCGATAACTTCTACCATAGGTATAAGCTTACTATTGAAATAAACTTACTTACTAATTTAAATAAATTTACATCATTTTTAAGGTGACAATATTGCTTTATATTTATGAAACACTCTGTAAAAATATTATGTTGTACTTACCTATTTTATTATACAAAGCGCATTGAATATTATACGGGTACATATACCAGGTGAATAAAAAGTATGGAACCAAGCGTTTTTTTCGTAAACTAAACACTTTACGAAAAAATAATTAGTGTAGCGTAAAGTCCAATTAAAATGTGACCATTTATCAAGAATAACATTTTTCGAAATTTCTTTTAGTTTTCGAGTTCTGGAAAAAATATTTTTTTTTAAATGGCAACCCATCATGGTAATTTTTTTAATTAAAGATTGTGATCTAAAAATGACCTCTAATTAAACAGAATTGTTTTTTAGTCAGTACTTTTTTTTAATAAATTGTTAAAGTTGCGTTCCGAGCCCATTACCAAGATTTTCCGAATTTAACCGAAGAGGTTGTTTGGTATGTCGCGTTAACAATTTGTATTTTTATCATTTTTTTTTTCACCATTTGAACGAATGTTATTATTATATAATCTGAAAAAGTTATTTAGGAGAACATACCTTTTAAACTTGTAATCACACTGACTGGATACATCTACTCAGTTTCCGGAGGCTGTCGTTGTAACATTGATTCTAACGTATTCGATATTATTTTACGGCAAGTACAAGTATAATAATAATTAGTAATAAAAATAAATATAATGCATGCGTCTAATGTAGTAAAGTTGTATTTGATAATTTAGAAATAAGATAGGCAGGTAGGTATCTACTGTTTAAAATCATGCAGCAATATTTTTAATAGGTATAAATCTTACAGAAGAAGATTGATCTGTTAGTTATTGTTATAATAATTTAATGCTATCTTCTTTAAAAAAATATTATTATTGTATAATATTATGTATGTATATTGATTTAGTATTTCTATTTATCTCTGTTGATGTAATATACGAGTAGTAGTCATTTTAAGGTTTTTTTTTTAAATTAGAGCTGTCATTAGCATTAAAAAATAGAAACATGTTAATTATTTGTTTTAAGAATTATGTAACTACCAATAAAGTACTGACCTATGAAAAGAAAAACGTATATTTAGTCTCTTTTTCAAACCATACCTATTTAAGGTTTTAGAGTTTCAAAGACTTGAAATTTTAAATTGTCACATTTTCGTGTATGTACTTATTAGCCCAGTTTACTCGAACAAAATTTATCGGTACTAGTTTTTCATGATTTTGATGGTACATTTGTTATGAATAATTGAATACAAGAGGTGTGTAGCTTGACAGATGAGGATTGGACGGTCACGTGTTCGCATCTTTGCTAGTCACCGACTGTGAAAATAATCGTGCATCCTTATTTATTTTGTCATTTTTATTCATAATTCATAGGTACAATACCTACATTCGGGGAGTTTACAAACCGTACTCAAAGTCCTCAAAAGATGTGTATACAAACTATTACAATTATTGCAAAATAATTTTAATAGGTGTAATTTTTTATTTTTAAGTTGTGAATAAGTTTTTGTTGTTTTTGTTTAACCCAATTCTTAAAAATTATTTATCCGATCGTATAATACAGGGTGATTCTTAAATAGACCGACAAAATTTTATCCTTGGTAGTATCAAATGAGTACATGCTGGAAAAAAAAGGGTCTTTTAAGGTTGTACAGAAAAATTACCAACATTGAAATATCCGCATTTGAATTCGAATTTAGCGCCACTTCCTGGGGTGGAAGTAGATGTCCCCCTAGCGGTAGAAAAAGGAAGGAAGCGGGGGTGAAACGAACCAACGCTCTCTTGCAAAAAAAACAAGTGACCGAATCCAGACGTGCCGTGTCTCTCCCATTTGTTTTTGAAAGTTTCCTTTTGTTTGTTTGAATGTTTTGTTGTTGTTTTAACTTAAAATCAAAGCTCCTGTAAAACCCCTCCGTTTTGTCAAACAATTAAAACACCGATTACATGGAAAAACACCTGGTGTGACGATCAGCTTTCCACGAGTGTGAACCGCGTTTTTGGGAAAGTCGTGCTATTTCCTAATTTCCCAGGACATTAGCCTGTTGGG